TTGTTAGAAAGTCTTAAGTCACACGATAAATGTTTCTTTTATTGTTTTTCTATAATGTCACAATAATTTCATTTTCAAGAAAAATACCTGATGTCGCGCTGTATGTGCTTGACCACTTTTAAGTAGGTCCTCAGTCATGTTTTAAACAAAATAAAAAGTATTTTTAGTTTTTATTGGCGAAGATCTAATTTGACAAAGTCATAACCCCACGCCTAACCATCGACAACGTACAGTGACAAGATATACCGTCGTACACTTTAGGTGTACAGTGTCACTATTAACTGATCTGAAGCGAAAACTATGATGTACATGTAGGTTTGATTGTGGTTTTCAAAAATTAATTTGAGGATTACATAAAGTATTTCATGTTTGATTTCGTGTGTATTCGATTTGGAAGACATTTACCTTTCTAATCACGTTAAAAGATTTTCGAGCAGTGCTCGATTTTTTCGTTGTGAATCTACTCATGCAATTGGTCGGTTTGAAAAATGTGTTTTTTACACATTTCCTTTGATCATTTTCTCCCCTGTCGTCTAAGAGTGCCAAATATTTTCGTTTTGAGAATATGTTTCTCTAAGCTACACAATTTAAGACGGTTGAAGGTTTTATAAATATTCATGTATTTGGTATAATTTAAAAAATTAAAAATGTACGTTGTCATCTCTAATGTACGTTGTCCCTGTAATTGAAATGTAAGCAATGCAATGATTTAACTTCAAACGCATTAAGGGTTTTTTATTTTATGAGTAACAAGTGATGCTCAACGAATATATTCACGTATCCCTGGTACAGATAAACAGGTAAACGTGATTTTTACCTCTTGTTGAATGCTATTTTATTTTATGAAAGTGTTGATATGGTGATAAATATTTGCCAGGGGGTACTTATCTTCCAACCTCTTTGACCATTCGGCGTCGGTACGTTACGTTATGTTGCACTTTTATGAATTTTAATAATCTTAAGGAGTTCATGGAGAGACATATACTAGCTAATCGAAGATGACTTTCGAAACCCCGTTTATGCTATATCTGGAAAGTGCATAGGTTCAATATAGTTCACTCAAGTTGAAATAGCAATACTGGATTGTTCCGTTTCAGTTTTAAATGAATCTGATCCCCCTGCCCCTTTGTGTTATGAAAAATACGTCGTCTACATGAGGGTTAACTGTGAATTCAGATGTGTAAGTTCAATAGGACAACGTACATCGAGATGACAAGGTACACTTATGATTTTTTTTTGTTTTAGCAAAAACCTTAATATTTATTAAATCTTCAACCGACCTTAATTATGTTACTTTGGGAAACATATTCTCATAAAAATAATTGACACTCTTGGGCGACAGGGGGAAAAAATGACCAAAGGAAATGTGAAAAAATCAACATTTTCCAACCGATCATTGTTGGTGGGTAGATTTATAACGAAAAAACTAGAGCACCGCCCGAAAATCTTTTCACGGAATTAGAAATGTTAGAAATGAGTAATGTAGACCCATTATATATAATTTCAAATTTTGAAGAAAAATGTATTTTCATAGGAAAAAATTAAACAAAGATGATCTTAATTTTAAAATCCTTGCTTGACCCCCTACTACCCCCCCCCCCCAAAAAAAAAAAATTCAGATTTGTATTGAACTCAATGGGGTCCGATTTTGGTCAATTTTTTCATGAAATTTCCTGAATAATTCATGAATACTTTAAACCATGGACTTGTCCTTTGGCACATTTAAAGAAGACTGTGATGGTATTTCTGTAGAATTTTATATCAAATTTTGGAACAAATTAAGTAAATTTTTATATGATGCTGTTCTTGAAATTTATGAACAGGGAGAAATGACTATATCTCAACGTAGAGGTATCATTACACTTGTTCAAAAAAGTGGAGATCCACTATACTTAAATAACTGGAGACCGATTAGTCTCTTATGTGTAGATTACAAGATTATAACACATGCAATTGCAAATAGACTCAAAAAGGTAATATCATATTTAGTTCATAATGACCAGGTAGGGTATGTCAAAGGTCGTTATATCGGTGAAGTTATTCGTAAAATAGAAGATATTATATATAATGCCAAAAGTAAAAACCTAGTGGGGTCAAGCATTCTGTGTGTAGACACCTCCAAAGCGTTTGATTCATTAGATTGGGTATTTTTAAACCAAGTTTTAGATAAATGTAATTTTGGAGAATATTTTAAAAATGGATAAAAATCATGTACACTAATATAGAAAGCTGTATAGCGAATGTAAATGGATCTAAAAGTGAATATTTTAAGATTTATAGATCAGTTCGTCAGAGAGATCCAATCAGTTCGTATTTGTACATTCTATGTGCAGAAATCCTATCATGTAAGATACGTCAAGAAAAAAATGTTTGTGGTATCGAAACACCTGGTAAGAAAGAAATCAAAATTGCACAGTTAGCAGATGATACCACTTTATTTTTAAAAGATAATCAGTCTGTTGAAAACGTTCTTAAAATTTTAGATGATTTTGGAAAAGTATCTGGGTTAGTAATAAATAAAACAAAAACTGAAGCAATGTATATAGGAAATAACACACAAAACAGAGATATGAAATTTGCTGGTCTTAGCTGGAAAAATGATCCAGTTAAAGTCCTAGGTGTATACATATGTAATGATCAGAAACTAAGTAATCAAAAAAACTGGAATTTCAGGGTAAAAAAGTTTAAAGATCAATTAAAGAAGAAAAGAGATCTGACTATTCATGGAAAGATAACCATCGTAAAAACAAACGCATTGCCACAACTACTTTACTTAGCCTCTGTTATTACCATGCCAGAAAATGTACTTTTAGATTTAGAGAAAGCAATGTATAACTTTATATGGGATGGAAAACCTGATAAGGTTAAAAGAAAGACATTAATTGGAAATCATAATCAAGGAGGTTACAAAATGATTGACTTGAAAAGTAAAATCAATAGTCTTTTATGTAAATGGGCCAAAAAGCTCATGGAAGAGATTAAAAATGACAACAAACAACCATGGAAAATTTTACCAAAATATTACCTTAGTAAAGTATGTAATTCAAATATTTTGTTACGAGCTAGTGAGTGTTATGACAATGTTGCTAAATATGTTCATAAAGATGTACCTTTATTTTATAAAAATGTTATCAGTTCTTGGATTAATTTTAACAACCAATCAACACAATTACAACAAGAAGTGGCTAATAGTCTATGGTTAAACAAGAATGTAAAATATAAACATAAGGTTTTATACTTAGAGAGATTAATGAAGAAAAATATATTCTCTTTAGATCACATATATGAAAATGACAATTTAATACCTCTACAATTGTTAAATGAAAAAACCAATTTAAACTGTATCTTAGAGTATAACATATTAAAGGGTATATCTCGATGTAAAACAACACAAGTAAAAACAGTAGACACAAAATACATTTATAATGTGTTTATTAAGAGTTTATTTCAAAACCCCACATCAACTGTAATAACAGATGTGCAAAATAGTGAATTTTATTGGACACTTGCACATCATTTGACAAAAGAAACAAAGTTGATTACATTTCAGTGGAAAATACTCCATAACATTGTTGTCACAAATAATAGTTTATTCAAAATGAAGAAAAAAGAAACCCCTCATTGTACAAAATGTGCTGATAATGTGCTAGATACTGTGAAGCACAGATTTGCATCATGTACTTCTATTCAACCTTTATGGGGTATTATTAAACAACACTTTAACACTTTAATATTATTATGTAATGCAACAGGTAACTTATGTAAACAAATTTTTAAATTGATGTAATCTTTTTAAATTATCTGAAATAAAAAAGAATTTTAAATATAAAAAAACATTCAAAGAAGACATAATGCGTGAGCACCTCGAGAAATTGCAGATATGTAGCTCAAGTGGGTCAAATTTTATGACCGTTTCAATATATTCTCACTTTGGAGAATTTCTCATTAGCCAAAGATCGAAGATTGAGTGGGTATCCCATTCACCTGATATGACCCCACCAGATTTTTTACATCTGGTTCACATGGTTCCCCCCCCCCTGGCCAAAAATTCTTTCAAAATTATGCAGTTTTTCACCATTTTGAGCACTTCTCAAGTGATTTTAGCCATATTTGGGCCAAAATTGAAAACTGGCAAATCCTGGCTACGGACCTGATGAGACAAAAATCCGCAAACCATAGCTGACTTAAACAGAATAATTACAAGGAAGATCAGGGCTATGTCTCAATGTGTAAGGGTAATCAACAACTTTGCCCGTAGAATTCAAGGTGGGTGTCATTTTTTGTCACCCTGTACTGTACAGTGCAAACACATTATCTTGCAACAATGCAGATTGAATAAAGGACACACTATTTCAATAATAATAAATAAATTCACAATTTTTTGAACATAGAGTCCTTCACTTTTTGAAATAAAAAAAAGTTTCATATTTCACACTTTGATCACATTGGGTAAGACTACAATATACGCCAAAGCATCCTCCTAAGCAGGTATCCAGAATCCGTACCTCCTTTTCCCCCTGCTATAACCAATTTGGAAGCGCCCGATTTAACTGAATCGCGTGATCTAATTATGCGCAATGACTTATACATGATTTCTGTCCCAGTGTTGCGACAGCCATCAGATTGCAAGTTCTTAATCGGGGAAATACTAACTGCCTATCGCAGGGGGTAAAAAGAAAGAATATATTCTGGATTTTGAAGCCCTGTGATCGGAGGATGACGCCAAAGTGGTTTCAACTTTTTATGAGGGCTTTCAATTGCCAAACATAAACAGGCTTTGGTAAAGGATCAAAAGGGGACTTCTTGTTGCCAAACTTATGGAGGGGAGTGTACATTGGGACTTCTAGTTGCCAAACTTATGGAGGGGAGTGTACATGTGATTCCTATGTGATCCTCTCTCAGCAAATGAAGTAAACAGCCATTCAACATGATTTTTCAATCTTTTATATTATTGTATAATAATATAGATTTATTAAGTTAACAACATCAAGCATTATTGTATTTATAATAAGCTAGTTATTTACAATAAGTTTACATCAGAATCTAAGATAACATTCTGGGCAGGCTTTAACTGGCAGAACAATGGACCTAGAGATCCACGAGATAATGTGAAATTTTTTCCAAGTTCTTGGTCTTTCTCTGCAAGGCCCCCTAGAGAATGTACTACAGTTGGACGTCTCCCTGGTGTAGGTTCATACACTGGATGTGTCACATTTTTAATAATTTTCACATTTTTTGTTGCTTTCACATTTTTAGAGTGATTCAAGTTTTCATAGCGATTCACATTTTCATGATTAAAATTTTTACAAGTATTCATTTTTTTAATTTTAGTTACTTTCACATTTTTATCTAATGCTTTATCATGCTTTGTTGGATTTACATTAGATTTCTGATTGCTTATTTTTAATCTAAATGCTGGAAGATTCAACACTGTCTTATTCATATGTGATTTCTGAAATCTCCTATCGTGTTCAACTATCAATTTTTCAACACTTTTTGAAGATTTTGTTTCAGTCATACTGCCAGTACTACTGGATCTCTTTCTCCCATCATTTTCACCTGCTTTCGTTTGATGATCAATTGTATCTGCATTTTCAAGTTTATTCTCAAATTCAAGTTCAGATTTAACCTTTGCATTGTCAGAAATGCTAGATCTATTTCTCCCAAGATTTTTTCCAGATTTCTTTCGTCGATCAATTATGTCTGCATTTTCAAGTTCATTCTCAACTTTAGGGTCATCTTTAAGTTCGACATTGTCCTCACAAACCAAATCATCATCATCATTTTCATGCTCATCAAGTTCATATTTTTCTTCAGTACCCATACTTTTATTTACAGTCACTGTCTTTTCTTTCTGTATTTTTGGTATGTGGTACATTCCTTTTAGATCAAGTCTCTTTTCAAACGACAGATCCTTTATTTTTTCTTGGCATTTCTGTTTTGCAGCCCGTGGCGCGTCATCTGATCTGGTGTAATAGGGCTTACATACTGCAACTGGCCGTGGCAAAAGTGGTGTTTGATTTCGGTAACGCTTATTGTCTCTCGTTTCCAAATGACAAGATGATTCACTGGATTTCCTCTTCAGTTTCTGTTGTTTGTCTGATCTGACTTGGTGGAAACCCTGATGCTGTTTCCTGAAATACAAAACAATGCTCTTTAAATACAAAATAATACGCTGTATATTTCAATTGAATACACATCAAAACAGCTCTAAGAGATCTTTTAAATATTATAATTGTCTTTCATTTGGTTCAGTGTTAATTGGGCAAATTAGGCAATTCCAAAAAAGTACATAACTAAATAATCGCCGAAATCTGAAACATGTTTTTCGTTAAATTTAAGATGAGTACACTGTTAAACAATTTGAAACATATCACACAGATATTACATTTCTGCATGAAAAAAATCAAAATTCTGCAAAAAATTCTGCAAGAAAAAAAGCAAATTCTGCAAGGAGAAAATCAAAATTCTGCACAAATTTTCAAAAAAAGTCCAAATTCTGCAATCTTTTAAAATGATGAAAATTGACGTAGCAAGGGATTTAAACTGAAACGGAAGTCATCTACTTTCTAGGTAAGAACTGTGCGTCATTAGCGAACTCGCTTTAGCGAATTTAAACGTGATAGAATGTTGAATTTCACGGTGAAATCGTACTTGTACTCAATAATGATTGATTGTTGGACATAAACAGACACTCTTCAAATACCCCGCAAAGGTAGGAGATCGTAAAATATGTAATTTCTGGAAATTCCGCGGGATTTTCATGAAAATCAGGGATTCTGCAAAAAAATGAAGTTTTGTCAAATTCCATCCACGCCGCGGAATTACGGAATACTAGTATCTATGATATCAGTCTATAATTCATTATATCATTGTTTCACTTATTTTGAAATTGATGAGATTTGCACACTTTTAATCTTGATTAAATATGAGCATTAAATATAAATGCTTAATAAGGTATTAACATTATCATAAATGTCACCATCAGGCATTTGCAAATGGTTACAATAGACCTTTCCAATAAACCCCGCCACCTTTTGGTACATCAAAGAAGCTAGGATATATTGGCTACTAGATTAATGATGTCATAGGTTGTATATGTAGGTAACAAACTGTCCAAGCAAAAAAGCATCAAATTATAATTATTTTCAAACAAAACATGCAAAATGTCACCACCTGCCATTTGTTACAGACACTGACCATTTGTTCCAGATGCTGAACACTAACCGCCATCCACAAAAAAAACTGGAAACTATAATCTTGTTGTAGGTAACAAACTGTCCAAGCAAAAAAGCATTAAATTATTATTATTTCCAAACAAGACATGCAAAATGTCACCACCTGCCATTTGTTACAGACACTGACCATTTGTTCCAGATGCTGAACCCTGAACACTAACCACCATCCACAAAAAAACTATAATCATTTCTGGTGGTGACATAAAAAGTACATTTCAATGTTATCGATCTGGTTTCTAGCCAATATATCATAGTTGCTATGACGAACAATAAAGTGGATATGTTTTATTGGACCAGTCTTTGTGTAGCAATTTGCTACTGAAACCAACACTGTTGTAAAGTAAAACCTGTCTTAATTGAACACCTTTGGAACCACTTTGGATGTATTCCACTTATAGAGGTTCATTTAACATTAAGTCAGTTGGTCTTGGAACTCTTAAAAGTGTTCCACTTACATAGGTGTTCTACTTTACAGGTTTCACTGTAATATAAAGCAAGTGTTGGTGCAGGGCCCAGGATACATGATACAGGTACTTACTTTTCTTTGAGAGATTGTTTAACTCTTGTGACATTTCTCTCCAAGTAAATTCCACTTGTACACACTTTCATCTTAACTCCTTCCTGACTAGGGATGACAATTTCATCAATTTTAGTATTTTTCCTTTTAGACTTATGATTAATATATAATCGTCCTTGATTTGTTTTCGAGAGACTGCGCCTCCTTCTACGATATATAAATTCTAGTTCATTAATTTGTACATTTTTCCAGTATTCTGGGCGGGTATCAGTATTTGAAGTTGCATTGGCACATTTATCGTCATTATTGTCATCAGTTGGTGACATAATAGGGTGAGATACTGATTTGTTCATATGTTGTGTGAAATCAACACTCAATGATTTCCCTAATTGTTGTCCATTTATTTCATCTATGATCACAAGATCTTGAGATTCATTCTCTTCACTGGTTGATGGATTCTGTTTGATGGCGCATTCCACAATAGCCACCCTGTTTAAAGCTGAAGTACCATGTTCAATAATCCTCTCTGAAGGCTCCTTGTGAAAATTACTCCCATTCACATTAGTTTTTAACATAAACTGATCAAGTTTTGATTGTTTTTGTTTCAATTTTAATTTAGAGCGAAGCCGTGAACTAGATCTTCTATTCAAATCAATGATCACATTTTTCACTTTATCAAATGATTCACAAAACCTGTCTTTGTCAGTCTCTTCTTGTACTTTTGGGGTAACGTCACTGTCTGAAAATGCTTTATGGCACTGCTGTCTCGTCACTATCATTTCAGCACTGGCACTATCCCTATCATCATGCAAACCATTGTCAGTATGTTCTGCATTGATGATTTCACAACTAGGTGAATCTGATTCCCTCTTTGATTGAACATTAAGTTTGTGTTCAAAACTTGGTTCAAATGTTTCTTGATGTAACAAGGTCTGTTCTTGCAATAATGATTTTCTTTGTAATGATTTTTTACTTTGTAATGAGGGTTTACTTTGTAATGAGGGTTTTCTTTGTAATAAAGGTTTATCCTGTAAGTTGGGTTTTCTAGTCTGTTTGAACAAGTCATCGCAATATTGGTCTAATAAATTCCCTATTGAAATGGTATTCCCTCCTTGATTCGCTGAGATATCAAACCCACTGGATGCTGATGATGTATTCAAGGGATCCGACCTATTCATTAAAGTCCTATTCTGTGATGTATTTATATGGTCTGATATATTTAAGTTTTTGGCTTTCCTTTTTGAGCGTCCCAAAAGTTCTAACTGATCTGATTTATTAAGCAAATTGACATTGTTAGGTGATGTTTTTTCTGAGCATTGTCTGAGTTGTTGAGATGACTTTAACTGAAAAAACATAAATTTACAAGTAATTAATTCAATCTATTGGTTCAAATTGATTTAAAGTACTCACCATAAATATGGGATTAATCTCGGAAATTATCTGACATTGGTGAATTAGTACAATCTTTGAATAAAATTTATCCGAATTCAAATTTTGTCATTTGGATCAAGGACATTTATCAATCTTAAGATAAATATTGGGATAAATCCTAGGATCGTACGAAGTCACCAAATATTTATCCAAATCAATAATCCAAAATTTATCTTAGAATATTAAATTTATATGGATAAATTCTTGGATTGTAGCAGTTCATGGCACAAGGTGATGGTTTGATTGATGCACAGAAAAAGTGAATGGAGTGAAGACTGTTACTGAAATAGAAAGAATACATAAGCAAATTAGCTGGATCATGTATTCAATCACGAGGTCTTCAGCCTCGCGTACCTGCTATCAGAATCCTGGTTACGCCGCTGCCTGGTAATACGAGTAATGTGTGAAGTCACAACGGCTGGCCGTAGTAATAGCGGACCATGATGAATATTCAAAACATTTTAGTGAGGTTTCATGTTCAAATCGTAATATAGACCTCAGAGCAGGTGTAATATATTCGAATTCACCCCTTTGCGCTAGAGTCCATTTCACTGCTTCAGTGCGTCAGTAGAACGGCAAAAATAAGAAATTCGGAGACTATTGTGCAATAATATATGGAAAAGTATATTCATAATGTACATGAATGACATTTGTATATTTCAGATTTTTTAGTTTTTTGTGCAATAAGCCTGTGCCGTCTTGTAATTTGAAGAATTTCAGCCATGTTAATCTTATTGAAAATAACATGGCAGAGAAACATCCAAATATAAGAGGCCACACACTTTATAAGCCAAACTAGAAGCAATCCAAGATATACAAATGTCATTCATGTACATTATGAATATACTTTTCCATATATTATTGCACAATAGTCTCCGAATTTCTTATTTTTGCCGTTCTACTGACGCACTGAAGCAGTGAAATGGACTCTAGACACAAAAGCTTTCGAGCCTCTCACTCCCTTTGGTCGCTCGCGTTACAAAAAATGTTTGTTTCTTAGCCCTGTGGGGTGTATTTGACGATATTGACCCTGCTCTTCGGTCTATATTTCTTAAATAGGGTCTAATCATCGATCTTGAATATAATTTTGTTCAGAGAGAATTTCATTTTCAAAAAATTCAAAACATTTTTGAATTTTTAATTATATAAGGATAAACAGGTGTTTGAGGGAGGTGACCTTGTGTTTTATTGACCGATAATAGCAAAGTTCAATATTGATGCAGAGATGGAGTGCTCCTACCATTCAAAATTTGCAAAAAATATAATAAACTGAAAAAGATTTAAAATTCCCACCTTTTGAATGGCAGACATCTTGATTCTCTCGTTGAACGAGAACTAAACGAGATTATGCATAGACATTTGAAATAAGCTCAATATCCTTTATTTAGTGCACCATACCATTTATATTGGCACCCACATAATCCTGATATAAGAAAGAGCTGTTTGGTTTCGTAATGTGATCCTGCAAATCATTGAATCTAACAAGAAAACAAAAATAAGTTTCCGTAAAATTCTCATTAAAGTTCGGCAATTTCCGATGAGGCGGGGCACTGAAGAATTTGACCTACTTCAGAATCAAAACAAGAGCACATTTGTGTCAATTGTCACGACCAGAAAAGTCTGATTGAGTTTATAATCGTTACCGTTATCTAAACGGAATCGGAGCAAACGAAGGTGTCGATCAAGAGGTGAGATTGTTTACATGTTTCCTCCTAAGTGACCACAAACATGGGAATGCATTTCAATGTGAAATGGTCTGTAAACGCCACATGCAATTTTACAAGCCACAGGAAGGTTTCTTAGCCCTTGGGCCCTCTAGACTATGGGGTTCTTTGGGTGTGTTCACACAGTGTAACATTTAAGGATGGACTGATTTCCAGCCTTTGGCAATAAGCTATAGATATTTGTAATGCCTGAAACTGAATACAGAATTCCGGACTACCGGTCTAGTTGAAAGCCCATGATTCAGCTGCTTACGCGTGATTGTGTAAAAAAACTAGAGTCCATTTCACTGCTTCATTTCGTCAGTAGAATGGCAAAAATAAGAAATTGGGAGACCATTGTGCAATAATATATGGAAAAGTATATTCATAATGTACATGAATGACATTTGTTTATTTCAGATTTTTTAGTTTTTTGTGCAATAAGCCTGTGCCGTCTTGTAATTTGAAGAATTTCAGCCATGTTAATCTTATTGAAAATAACATGGCAGAGAAACATCCTAATAGAAGAGGCCACACACTTTATAAGCCAAACTAGAAGCAATCCAAGATATACAAAAGTCATTCATGTACATTATGAATATATACTTTTCCGTATATTATTGCACAATGGTCTCCCAATTTCTTATTTTTGCCGTTCTACTGACGAAATGAAGCAGTGAAATGGACTTTAGTTGACATGTGCTGTAATGTTCCTAGCAGGTTTACCAAAGTCGCACATTTTCCTCTAATACTCTATTGTATACAGGATAATTATCTCAGGATTTATCGAACAAATACTACATCTACAATCAATAATCCGCTATTTGAACCTTAACATTTAAAAAATCTATCTATTTTTACGAAGGCCCCCACGAAGTGGGCGGTACCCTTTGTTTTATGGACCGGGTTAGGACCATTCACATGACCTAAGTCCCACCTTTATTAGCTTATATGGCAAATCATCAAGGCAACTGCCAAGTCATTAAATTATCTGATTGTGATTAGAGATCTGATGTATTACATACTATGACATTAGTCACATATTTACTCCATCGAGCAACTACATGTATAAAGAAAGAAATAATAGTAACGCCACACATCTCTGTTGTTCTATATTAACATGTAACGTCATTAACATGTTACCTAACCAACAACAAAACAAGTATTTACTTTGTTCATTGCTGATCTCCGATTCTCCGTGATCATTTCATAAGAAGTGGATCAGTTTTCTCCATTAGCTTTCTATTTTAATCGCAATTATATTTCTAAAAGGTTTCTGACTTCTTATTCCTTGTTTTTATCCAGTGCAATTTCTCAAGAGTTTTTCCACAAATAATGTGACAAAATGTAAAAGACTTTCACTAGAATTTCCCACAACGGGCTTTAAATGAAAACAACAGGCAAAATTAATGGAAATCATAAATTTAATATGGAAAAGTTGAAAAATCCCTGAAAAACAACAGGTGATTTTGTGAAAACAACTGGTGAAAATTGCCTGTTGACTGCTGCTTATGAAACCCCTGCTTTTGTTATAAAAAGTCTGCATCTATATTTCAGATTTGAGAAGAGATAAAGATGGTATTTGGACTGTTTAGTTCCCCTGTTCTTTACAAGGGCCAAGACTATGCTGCACTACGCAAAGAGCACCAAGATTCAGGTCACCTCTACATCGACAACCAGTTCCCCCCTGATGATAAATCCCTGGGTCCCAGCGGGGGTAAAGGGGGTCATGTAGAGTGGAAACGACCAAAGGTAAGCCTGGGATTTTCTCACATGTGGTATGGACATTCTAGGAAACCGTTTGAAAAGCAAAATAACAGAACTCCAAATAATGTATGAATCACACAAAACAAAACAATGTATTTTATTTCCCAAAATCCTGGGAACAACATAGTTGTACTGTGTTATTTCATGCTTTAATGCAAGATATTCATCTACCATATGAAATGTTTTGGTTTACAATCATCGCGGTGAAATGCAAGGGGTCTTGGGACTGTCAATAGATGGCGTGATATTCAGTTGGTTAGATGTATAAATACTCTTTATACATGTCAATGTATATCCGTGAAATGAATCACATTGATAATACCAAACGACATGTTATTGAAAGCACCATGAAGTACTGAACAACTCATCAATGACCTGTTATCAATGAATCACAATGAATATTGGGAAACACACCAGTACAGAAGAACCTTTTTAATTGTTACACCTTTTTTACCGTCCAAAAGTGCTTGGATGAGCAGGTGTTCACATTTTAAGGTTTTATAAATGGATAAGTCAAGAAGAGAAGAAATTTAAGACAGGAAAAGTGTTCGCATTTAGAGATCTTAAAATTGTAAAGGTGTTCGCATATAGAGTTTCTACTGTAGTATATATTTTAACATCACTAATGACATGTTCAAGTGCCAATTTGAGTGGTATAACCCAATACTGCAATACAGATTATCTATTTACATTTGTTAGCATGTAATCACTGATAAACTACATGCCCCTGTTGAGAGATAGTTGGAGCAAAGGGATGATATCCAAATGTTTATACATGTGGTAAAATTGTTGTTTTAGTTCCATTACTTATTACTGTTTAAAATGTTTCTTTAGTCATGAAGGGTTGTCTTAGATAGGTTTTACTGTACAAAATACAGCTTTGTGAACAAAATGAGTGATTAAAGTGAAGTCAAAGGAATTGCACGTTAAAGTCTTCAGGGGTACTTATTGAATCAGAGCTTGTTATACCATTATCCTACCTTCAAGGTGGTTGGTGGTTGCAGTTTGACACATTGTTATTAAAAAAACATTCCTTTCACTACCAAAGTAGGGACAGACAAAAAGTCTATGCTGTATATTCTTTAACATTGCGATTACATAAGAGTCATATGCCATTGCCTTGACCCCATCTCTGATAGTCAGAGCAAAGGCCAAAACATACTGTTCTGGCCATGAACTTAAGTTTCTGACCATAGAAACTGAATATGATATGTTTATTGCAAAGAAGTCATTTTTGACATTCAAAATAACATGAGCAAGATATTGATGAATTAAAGGACCACAGAAGGTATTGCAACAGATTTTAGACAGTCATATGTTGGATTGCGGCTATTTTCTGAGGATTTAAACAGGTGCATATGTTAGGCCAATGCATTATCTAGAGAAAAGTACTCATAGAGATGCATGATCAAATAATTTGGACTTTGAGAAAGGGAAGGTGCAAACAACCCAACAAATTTTTTTTTTAACTTTATTTTAGTATAATTCATTTCTTATGAACGGGATTCAGATTCTTTTTAAATACAAGTTCATGTTTAAGTCCTTTAATGATGTTTTCTATCTTCCTGGAGTAGGTCCCACTGTTGGCATTATTTGTCGAAATTGTTGTTTAATGTCATTCATGCTCTGGGCTGTGTATTTCCATGTATCAGTGAATTTGTCGCACTTCCCAGCCATGACAAGCTTAGCAAAAGCTTTATTAGCAAGAGCGTCTGAAAATACAGTTTTGATATATTTGCACATTGCACATAGTTGAAAATAAATCGTTTCAATTAATGTTGTGAATTTCTGACTACATGTACATATTGGGATAAAAGTACACCCATAAATGTGGGGTCGGATTGGCATTTTTTCTTATTTGTTATTATTTGAGGCCAATTCTCTTGCCTTATCAAATGTCAGAAGTAAAAAAACGCAAACCGAGCACATATTTATTGGGGTAGATAAAAGATATAGGCTAGACCTCAAAATTATAAAAATAGTTGACTATAGCAATAGATCAAGAAGGATTGGCTCCCAGGGGCCCATCTTGATATTCTGACATATAAGGGGTCACGTTACTGCTATGTTGTGATAAGAAAATTTGAAATCAAACAGCTGCCATTTTGTTACTTCAGAATTTCAATCCTGAGATTTGGTCTTATTTCCCAACAAAAAATTTCAAAACACACAAGAAGTAACCAAAATATTAGTTCAAATCTCTTAGATTGCTGATTATGAATTTATAATGTTATAATGTCAGAAAATAACGACATTTTCACTGTCGTTATCAACCAAGGTCAAGGTTGAATATCTCCATGGCAAAGGATAACTCACATGTTACTTTATATGGTCTTGCTGCAACATCATCACCATGACAACCCATTATTGTGTTGCGTTCCACACAATGTAGTGCCTGCATGGTTGCTAAGCATGGGTTCATCCCTAGCGATATACTCTCTGCGTAGTTGACCAAGCATCGCCTGTAGACTTTTTTCTCACACTTGTTTGTTACTGTCACATAATTATCTATAATAAATAATATCTGTTTAAGGCATTTAGGTTGTTAATTATCAGTAATTAAAAAAACAGGGAATACTGTTTTCAAATTTGATGAAGATATTTACATATTATGGTCGAATATATAGTTCAAGATCAAAATGTTTGATTTAAATGTTGAAATTTAACACTCCCTAAAATGTCTTTTTTGTTAAGTTGCATCACCTCAAAGCTTTTTATCACTTTACTCAATTTTAGTATAGTAGGAACAAGGGGTTCCCATGCACCCATAAGGTGTGAATAAGTTACATACATTTTTGTCATCCCTATGGTGTCTATTTAATGAATTCATTTGTTAACATTGCCAACTAATGTCCCATAGTACTTTTATGGCGGCATTCAGTTACCATGGTTACGCATCTTTAGACATCTTACCTTGGTATCTTAAATCATTTGTAGCTCTGTCATTATCTATAGAAATGATAGTGGTACCAAATTAAACCTCGTTAAATTTCCAATAAATTTCTGATATTCAATTATGCAAATTATCTAATTTGCATAAATTATGACGTCATCAATCTATTTTTGGTTCAGAATTTCCAACTATAGCAAAGTATCTATTAGAACTGAGGCCGTTACATAACTTTCGTAATACTGATTCAATTTTGGATCTGTTTTCACTTTTATGTTGCTTATACCTCCTACTAATAGAATAAAGGAAAAATTATAACTTAATTAATTTAACCCCCCCTGACAGCCCCCATATTTGAAGATTTTGGTGAAACCTGGCAATTTACATTAATTATTAGGTTCCTGATGCCCCCAGAAGCTATATGATGGCCCCCAGTGGCCCCAAGAATCTATACAGGGGCCCCAAGTGGCCCCCAGAAGCTATACTGTGCTCCCCAGAAGCTATATGTTGGCCCCCAGAAGCTGAATAGTGGCCCCCAGGAGCTATACGGTGGCTCCCAGAAGCTATACAGGAAACCCTGTGGCTCCCAGGAGCTATACGATGGCGCCCAGAAGCTATACAGGGGCCCCCAGTGGCCCCAAAAAGCTATGCGGTGGCCCCCAGAAGCTACACAGGGGCCCCCAGAAGCTATACTATGGCCCCCAGAAGCTATACAAGGGCCCCCAGAAACTATACTATGGTCTCCAGAAGCTATATGGTGGCCCCCAGTGGCCCTCGGAAGCTATATGATGGCCTCCAGAAGCTAATTACTGGCCCCCAGGAGCTATACGGTGGCTCCCAGAAGCTATACAGGGGACCCCAGTGGCCCCAAGAAGCTAAACGATGGCCCCCAGAAGCTATACAGGAGCCCCAAAAAGCTACATGATGGCCCCAAGAATCAAAATGATGGCCCCCAATAGCTCCCAGAAGATGTGAAGGGCCCCCAGTAGCCCCTAGAAGCTATACGATGGCCCCCAGTGGCCCTCATAGGCCATATGATGGCCCCCAGAAGCTAAATAGTGACCCTCAGGAGCTACATGGTGGTTCCCAGAAGCTACACAATGGCCCCCAGAATCTATATGGTGGCCCCCAATGGCTCCCAGAAGCTATAAAGGACCCCCCCAGTAGCCCCTAGAATCTATACGGTGGCCCTCAGTGGCCCCGAAAGCTATATAGTGGCCCCCAGAAGCTATACAGAGGCTCACAGTGGCTCCCAGAAGCTATACGATGGCCCCCAGAAGCTATGCAAGGGCCTGCAGAAACTGTACTGTAGCCCTCAAAAGCTATACAGGGGCCCCCAGTGGCTCCCAGAAGCTATAAGATGGCCCCCAGAAGCTATGCAAGGGCCCGCAGAAACTATACGATAGCCCCCATAAGCTATACGATGGCCTCGAAGCTATACAGTGTCCCCCAATGGGCCACCATATAGCTTTGGGGGCCACCGTATAGCTTCTAGGGGCTACTGGGGGCCCTGTATAGCTTCTGGGAGCCATTGGGGGCCATCGTGTAGCTTCTGGGGGTTGCTGTATAGCTTCTGGGGGCCGCTGTATAGCTTCTGGGGGCCATCGTATAGCTTCTTGGGGCCACTGGGGTTCCCTGTATAGCTTCTGGGTGCCACCATATAGCTCCTGGGGGCCACTAATTAGCTTCTGGGGGCCATCATATAGCTTCTGAGGGCCACTGGGGGCCACCATATAGCTTCTGGAGACCACAGTATAGTTTCTGTGGGCCCTTGTATAGCTTCTGGGGGCCATCGTATACCTTCTTGGGGCCACTTGGGGCCCCTGTATAGATTCTTGGGGCCACTGGGGGCCATCATATAGCTTCTGGGGGCTTCTGGAACCTAATAATTAATGTATTTTGCCAGGTTTCACCAAAATCTTCAAATATGGGGGCTGTCAGGAGAGGGTTAAATTAAGTTATAATTTTTTTAAACAAATTCATTTATCTATTTATCTCTAAAGCAAAGGGAGAATAACTTTCTTTTAACTCATTAAGAACGTGAAATGTAAAAACCTCATTATCAAGTGATGTTACCATAGCATCTGAAATGTTAGAAATATTACATAAACCATATGATGAATCATCTTCACTTCTAATCATGCTATATACTTCAGATACTTTAAGAATCAAGAATATGAAGAATATGATGAAAATCAGACTATATGTATACTATTTATATGAATCATTGAAAGTGCATGGTAAATTATAAAATTGGATCTTAAATATACAGGGTCGAGATAACCCTTTTGACCCCTGTGAATGATAGTCAAAATACATGTAACCTTTCCACATACTTATTAGTTCAGTTCAATACATGCACATTTTTACTCAATAAGATTGAAACTATGGTTGTTACTTTTTTTGTTAATTTAATATTCTTTTTATAATTGTCAAACAATGACGTTCACAGTAGCTGCGTCCAAAGCTGGATAATTTTGTTAATTCTGATCCAATTTTGAAGATTTGTTGTCTCTTTAATGTTGCTTATATCTTTCACTCATCAAATAAGGGACAAAACTTTGCACACATTCTGTCATACGGCCTCAGTTCTAATAGATATGTTGCTATACTAGGATATTCTGAACCAAAAATGGATTGATGATGTCACAATTAATGCAAATTAGCTAATTTGCATAACTGAATATTGTAACCATATAGTAAATTTAATAAGGTTTAATCAGATACCAATAGCATCTCTATAGACCAAATAATGGCGAAGCTACATTGATTCAAGACTCCAAGGTAAGATGTATGTATATTATTGTCAAATAATGACATTCACGATAGCTGCCTCGAAAGTTACGTAATACTGATTCAATTTCGAACGTGTTTTCACTTTTATGTTGCATATACCTTCTACTAATAGAATAAAGGACAAAACCTTTCAGAAATTTTGCCATACGGCCTCAGTTCTAATAGATACGTTGCTATAGTTGGAAATTCTGAACCAAAAATAGATTGATGACGTCATAATTTATGCAAATTAGATAATTTGCATTATTGAATATCAGAAATTTATTGAAAATTTAACGAGGTTCAATTTGGTACCAATATCATTTCTATAGACCAAATAATGACAGAGCTACAAATGATTTAAGATACCAAGGTAAGATGTCTAAAGATGCGTAACCATGGTAACTGAATGCTGCCATAAAAGTACTATGGGACATTAGTTGGCAATGTTAACAAATGAATTCATTAAATAGACACCCTAGGGATGACAAAAATGTATGTAACTTATTCACACCTTATGGGTGCATGGGGACCCCTTGTTCCTACTATACTATTTCATCTGCATTGCAAATTCAGTGAGCAAAATTTAAATTAAGATAATTATTTCAAAAACTCACCTAATTCTTTGACTGAAGAAAAGCTGCCATCTGAAAAATGAAAAGCAGTTAGTATCTCTATTTAAAACCCCCCAAACCATATAAATAGATTTGCATTTAATGAAAAGCATGCTTTAACAGATTGATATGATTTTAATAATTGAAAACGAGATGTGTTTGGTGGTCATCTAGTCATCATTGATTGGACAACATTTCGATGTTACTCTAATAGACGGGTAAGAATATTTGTGACTATTAATATGTGAAAGAACTATAAAACATATAAATTTGCTGTCTTTAGTATGGCTACATTTTCTTAGATCTTGTGATTTTCGGTACAGAGTTTTATTTTCTATTGAATTGAATAGAATTCAATTAAAATGGAATTGCTTGTACCTGTAGCCTTCATTAATGCTTCAAATGCTAAGTTTGGGCACATGTTCTGTTTGTTCATCAGCTGAGACTCTCTCAGATACACCATAAGTGTGCTGACTGCATGGCCTATGGGACATTTGGCTGCTATACAGTCAACGAATTTCTAAAAATCAAATAGTGATATATTTTGAAAATAATTGTTTGGATAATAATATAACCAATCCTACAGCAGAGGGCGGATAGAATATGCCTTGGCTCACAGATTTGCTGAATCTTGAATTTGATCAAACAACATAGACGTAGAATTTACATTTCTGAAAGTATGAATAATCAACTTTTGTAATTTATGTTTTTTGGTAGGAATCCTCCAATTATCTCAAATTACTTTTCTGTTATACTTCTCCTTGATGGCAGTGTTTTTATCATTGAACGGATTACTTTCATAATATTTTTGTCTTTTGTATCTCTGTTTTCAAATAGAACTGCAGAGAAGTGACCTTACCCTGCAGAATTCTCACATAAATCAGGGGTTTCACTAGAATTTCTCACAACAGGCTAAATAAATTAAAACAACAGGCAAGAAAATTAATGGAAATCATAAATTTAACAGGGAAAAGTTGAACGTCTCTAAAAATAACAGGCAATTTTGTGAAAATGACCAATGAAAAAAGCCTGCTGCTAATGAAACCCCTGTAAATGGCCTTTTATTCCTACCGAATCCATAGGAAAATGTTTTTTTAAGAGTATTAATAAATGAAATATTGCACATTGACTTGCCTGTTGTCCTTCACAGAATACATCCTCTGTTATCTCTATGATGTTTTTAGATCTAAAGAATGATTTCTGAACATCAACACAGTTGGCAAAGTTGTCTTCGGCACACCCAACATTTTGCTGTAATTAAGAATATGTTTATACATTGATTTATAAGACAATTTATAACAATAGGTAATATAACTGTAAATTAAATTTTGACAAGATTGGTGAATTTGTCTTCTTTGCTTCAGTCCGTTTATTTACTAAAATTTTCAAAATTGCTACAAAATTGTATGATATATGTATTATGTACAATATGTACCTGACAGTTTTGAATTATCGTAGTGGTTACTTGACAACAATATTCCAAATGCTTTATACCATATAATATATATATACCATATACCAATATATACCATTTTGGTATTTGTACTCAGAAATAACAGCAGTAGAAGAAACTATATGCTACTGTTCCTAAACTGAACTCAAATAAATTTATTTAAAAAGACTGAAAATTTAAACTCACGAAGTTTGGCTCATTCAGTTCCCTGGAATACCTCTCTAAGACACTTTCAGTTGCATCTGCGACAAAACACCTAGATATGACCAAAAACACCCTCAACAGATAACCGCTGTTCATCTTAGATTATTTTTCATAGAATTGTAAATATGAGAACTTTGAGGAACTTTATAGGATTTAGGCAGGTGATTCTTTTGTAATAATATCGATAACTCATTAATAACTTGTTGAATTTATTTTCAATAAATATTTTGAGTTGGTTTTAGTTAAAATTATTTTCCTCATCATGAATGATAACTGGATATTGATGATGATATCTGAATAAATATTAACCTCATTTCAAAGGGCAATATACTAAAATGAGGTTATCAGTATTATTGCCACCAGTAATGCCCAGAGCTGAAATAGCAAAAACTAATACTGGTACTGAACAATAATAATATATGCACTGAACGATATCTCATTTCCCCGGGGAACATTACTGGGTATTATCCTACACTTAGTGCACTAAATGTATAATAACATGAAAAAATAAATTTGATATTTATTGGAAAAATGAATGACCGGAGGATATCGTATTGATATACCTTGGGCGGAGGATATTGTGATGATATACTCCGGAAAACCCAATATGCGGAGGATATTGTGACGATATACTCCGGTTCTTGATTTCCCGCCAAATTGACTCTATTTGGGTTTGCAATGATATTATGCATTTAGTACACTCCTTGTTAGTGAAGGATAATAAGAACATCCTATGCTTTTTTTCAGAATATCATTTTAATCTACTCGGTGATATTGAACAAATATTTCACTCTATTGAGGTGAATACCTGTACATCTTTCACAAGTGATATTCCACGAAGCCCGAAGGGCAAGTGGAATATCACCTTGTGAAAGTGCTACAGGTATTCACCAAAAATAGAGTGAAATATTTGTTTTATTATATCACTGTCTAGCTAAACATCCCTAATATTATTAAGTCATAGGTTAACATTGAAATACATTGAATCTACTCGGTCCGTCTGTCATTTTAAATAAATTATTTACACTGAACGAAAACAAATTCTTTAAAAATTCCCGGGAGCGTGGGATAGCGCTAGATATCTCACTGTTGTCTTATCTGATTAGCATTGCCATTAAATATCGCCAGATATCCCACGACATGTGACCCGGTTTTGACCAATCATACTGTCGCTAGCTAGATAGTGATATAATAATGATATATGTACTCCTTCGCTTTGCTCTCTCGTGCAGATATCAATATCACCTCTAAGATAAAAATGATATTTCTCAAAATCATAGGATATCCTATAAATATCCAATTTTGGCCCGCCACTATGGCGTCACATAATACTCAGGTCAATAGAGTAAAATAGAAGTCCCCTGAACTAGTACTAATATCCATTGAACAGACCCAGCAAGGTGATAATAATTATTTATGTTCAAATGAAATCCACTCAATCAACCTTTGGGGGAAGCTTTATTTCAGCATCTCTCTTTTGATTAATTTAGAGCCAGCTCAAATACAACATTCAGTCATAGAATCATGGCATGTTTTGCCTTTTAGTAGGATACATTAGAGATCATTAAGATCTGATCAACCCTCTTGATTCAAGGATGTCATTAGAAGCAGGCTATGTTAATTTTCTCCAGTTTAGCTTCAATTTCTACCTGAATTGCCCATTTTTCTACTAGTTTTCCAACTGTTTTTGTTAAAAAATTCTTAAATCGCTTTTGCTCATTTGTTTTGTCTGTGTCAGAAATTTTCATCGTAAAATGATTTGTAAAGATTGAATAAACTTTATGATTTACAATACATTGCAGGATATAGTGACGGACCCAAAATTGTTTGTTGGTGGGACAGAGAGCGGTGATGTCACACAAGGGTCACTAGGCAACTGTTGGTTTGTTGCCTCATGCAGTTGTTTGGCTCAAGAGAAAGAAGTGTGGCAGAAGGTAAATGAAATATCATTACTAATTATTATATCACTGTCAATCACAGTCATATTCTCCACTCTTTTGTTTTTCTTTACATTATAAAAATATAAGAAGATGTATTCAACGGCCATGCCTGTGATGTCAGAAAAGGCTATATTTAACAAGCGTATTCACCATGCGTGCCATTTCATCCAGTGTAAATCTGAAAGTAATGCGAAAAAATCTGATAATTCTTGTTCTTGTAAGACATTCAAAACAGTAAGAGAGTGGTGAATATAATAGTGAATAAGAAAACAAATATTTCATACTATTTTTGGTGAATATTGAAATATGGATTAATTTGATATCATGTTACATCAAATTGGCGTGAATTTTCAAATCTGTGGAAAAGTGATAACTGTGAAATATTCTCCATATTCTACAGAAATTACTTTTTTCCACGCATTTGCAAAATATCATAAATATATTTACACGACATTATCATACAGATTTGACCTCAACAATGTTACAGTTTATTTATGATTTATTATTCTGCTTTTAGATCATCTGCGTTATCATTAATACTGTGTTCTGATTGGTCAAATCTAGGTGATAATTATGGTTCATCCATGGTCATATTGTGTTAAACTCTCAAGTGCTTAATAATTTTTAATATACTATTTTAAATGTGGCCAATTATACAGCCATGGCCACAAATCTGTATAAATGTTGTATTGTTTTAATGAAATAAAAAATAACAAAAATAAAATACCAGTTGGTCATCATATATCTTTAATACTGTGTTCTGATTGGTCAAATCTAGGTGATACCAGACCACAAGGATCAAGAATGGGATGCGGAACATCCAGAAAAATACTGCGGCATCTTTCACTTTAATTTCTGGAGGTATGTAAAAAGTTTCTTAGAATAAAGTCTAATCATGGTGTTAAAAAGGTCGAAAGCTGTAAGTCCCATCCTTTGATAACCTGAAAATACTATAAATTCATAATTCATAATTGTTTGAACTATAACAAAAATCTCACATCTATAATATCTAGAGATTGATATGAATTTGCCAAGGGGGGGGTTCAGTTTTCAAAAATTTCCAGGGGGGTTCACATTTGACAATTTTGGCCCAAATATGGCTAAAATCACTTGAGAAGTGCTCAAAATGGTGAAAAACTGCATGATTTTGAAAGAATGTTTGGCCAGGGGGGGGGCCCGAACCCTGCGAACCCACCCCCCCTGGCTATGGGCCTGAATGATTAGGGGTTGGCAGATCTGCCATTTTTAGTAGTATGTCTTGATCTGAAGTTTTCTGGATTTTGTAAAATAGAATTAAGCATGATTTAGCAAAAATATTGTGACCCTGACCTTCATAAAGGAAAAGTCAGAGCTTCCCAAGTTTCTGAAATTCCCAAACAGTAGTTTAAATTGACTAAGTGAAACAATAAACCCTTATGTTCTTAGAATATTGGGGTAATTCTCGATAGTTTAACCTTTAAAGGGTAAGTTGCTGAGACACTTTATCAAAAAATATTCAAATAAAAAATTTTGATCCTAATTAATATTTTTTTTTTTAAGATTAGACATTGATTGGTTCATTTAATGATAAGTGAATGGCTAACTGGACTTACTTTGAAAAGTGTTCCACTTGTGAAAATTTCCACCACATTTTACTTGGAGGAGCAATTGGTCATGCTCTCTACATCTGTCAAGAAAACTGACAAATCCAGATATTTTTAAAATTGTGTCTATTAGGTAACAAAAAGAGATTGCTCTGTATCAATGGGTCATGTGTTGAGTGGAAATTGACCAGATCTAGTTGAAATTGCAGTAAAATTTAGATTTTCACTTTTAAATCTGTTCAGATTATCTGACTTCAAGGAGGATTGGAAGCCGTTATTCAATCTTTAAATACTCTGTTGCCCGACGTGGACAAATTTTGTAACAATATTACACATATTTTGAAGACTAGAACTGCCAATGTAACTTGAATATTACCATAGTATTTGTAATGTAATCTTTTAACGACTTTAACGAAATACTTAGTCAAAGAGAATTTTATAGAAATATTTTCACTAAATTGTTCCATGTTGGGCAATAGAGTATCAAGTTTGAATAATGGCTGCCAATCCTCCTTGATTTGACTTTATATACATTTGCAACATTGGCTTTGCTATCATTAAGCACCATGAACATTTCCAGGTATGGTGAGTGGATCGATGTGGTGATAGATGATTTCCTACCAACCGTCAATGGAAAACTTGTCTACGTACATTCGAAGAGCAAGAATGAGTTCTGGAGCGCTCTCTTGGAGAAAGCTTATGCAAAGTAAGTTTGAAAATTGTCATAGATGGTAATGTTTACACCCCCAAAATGCAATCTGATTTTCGACGCTGTTTTGATGCCAAGTTTCGGTGCCGTTTCGACACCAAATGGACTGACTAGTCCGGTGCCAAATTAGGGTCTCGAAAGGTTGGACGCCGGAATGGTGCCGGAACAGCGCCAAATTTTTTTGATGCCGAAACGGCGCCGAATGTTATTGGCTGTGTAGAAATGAGAAATTGAGTGATAAAGAGTGGAATCAGCAATCAATATATTAATGAGCCATTTAGATAAAATATTGAATTGTATCAAAATGCAAGAAAATCATGCACTTCAGTATGGATTCAGAGATAAAAGCATGAAAATTGCATGAACAGAGAGAGAAAATCTAGTCAAAGGCTCTGCCTTGGAAAACTCATCTTTGCACTGTAATCTTAGTGCAAGAATAAGATCTACTTCATTAGGTTAAGTAAAGTAATCAAGAATTCATTGTGTTAATTATTCAGAAAAAAAGTTGAATAAGTGTAATCAGCAAGGAATAAAGTAAACAGTTGACACTGTAGAATAAATAGAAATGCAAGTAAGAGAGCATTTAAAATTTATCTGTATATTTCTCTCGATAGTATAGCAGTACTTACGATATCCCAATTTGTTTTTAGACTTTTCGGATCTTATGAAGCTTTAGATGGAGGTGAGTTATCAGAAGCCCTTGAGGATTTTACAGGGGGTGTGTCATGGCCGATCAACATGGTGGAAGAAAATTATGCTGGAGATGAGGAAAAAAGAAATGAACTTTTCCGCATCATGAGCAAAGAAATGGATAGAAGGTCCTTAATGGCAGCTGCAATTCCTGTAAGTTGAAAACTAGTACTTAGAACAATATTAGATGTCCAAAAACGCATTTTACATTTCAGCTATTTTTCTCTGTCCCCCTAAAATGTAATTGAAAATAAGTATTGATTTGACCTAGTTGAAATTCTTGGATAGAAAATTTGATAAAGGAATGTAACGCTCATGGATAGCAAACTGCTACTACAACACATCTATAGTGGCCTACGCCTTTGTGGCACACTTGGAAGAGCATCAGGCTTGGGTCTGAGAGTACTGGTTTCGATTCCCACATGGGGTGTTAAATTTAGCACACTCTCATGTCTGTGTCTGGTTTGTTACACTATGCTCTGCATTTGGCCATTTCCTTGAGGCACCTAATCTCCTATCAATACATGAATATGTTCGATGCTTAGAAATCTGAATGCAGTGAGGTGTAAATAATAGGGGTCCCACGATATATTATCTTTAATTTCGATACGAGCAACGATATTTTCTTCACGATACAATACAAACGATACAAGCAATGTAACAGCGCAACAAATATTTTTATTTTCAAAAATATATTGGAAAACAAGACATTAAGATGCCAAATGTACCAACAGCCAAATTTCGAACTTGTGAAACGGTATGTAACTATGAATGTCCTCCTTAAACTAATGTCCACTAGACTAATATCGTATCTTGACCAATTGCTCGAGCAAATCCGAGCAATCGCGAGACCCCTACATGCTAGTAAATAAACATCCAATAACTTTAAATGTAAACCAGCTCATGTGATACAGATTTCACTAGAATTTCTCACAACAGGCAAAATTAATGGAAACAAAAGGCAAAATTAATGGAAATCATAATTTAACATGGAAAAGTTGAAAAGTCCCTAAAAACTTCATGCGTTTTTTTTAAAACAACTGGTGAAAACCGCCTGTTGCCTGCTGCTAATGAAACCCCTGTGATACCATGTACAGCTAGGAACCAGGAACAGCTATAGTGATATCTCCAAAACCATGTTGTTGACAGCATAAACACCACTTCTTGGTTGACTGATTGCCAGTATATGTAGCCATAGCAACCAACGATGTAAGCAAAACAAGGGACGAAGCACACATTGCAGGTGCATACATTACCATGTTTTCTGACCCACCCTGTAGAATCAATCTATCGAAATTCATGCCATCTATAATGGTTCTATAGCCTAAATTCATGCAGACATAAGTAGATGTACATGGCTGAAATCAAGGGTGAATCAACTATCTAAAATACCGTATCTCTAATTTTCTATATTTTAGCCAGAGGGGGTAAGTTTAGAAAAAAGTAATAGCCTACTGGCTTCATCATATTTAAGTTTATGACCTTGATATATGCTTTTCAAACAAAGCTAAAACAAATTTTTCATTTGGTTAATTTTCAGCCTATAGCTATATTCATAGTATTAGAACAATGCAGTGGAAGTGTACATTTAAGATCATTTAAGATCATTAAGATCATTTAAGATTAAGATTATTAAGATCATATAAGTTGCAAATTGTAAAATGTTTGTATTAATTAGAAGGTTTTGTGCTTAGTTGCTGGGATGTAGGGAGTATTTTGATTATTAAAGGACCATGGATCATATATCACATGATTTTAAACAGTCATATTTTCTTTACCTATTTGCGTATCCTGACAATTACCATATGTCAGAAAGTATCCTAAGTGACATCTTTACCTATTCAGTTGAATGAGCTAATCAGTATCTTGAGTGATTTTGGAATGGGTGACACAGTGTTGGGTTCATGTGTGGGACAGTGTTGAATTAAGGGTAAGAACAGTTTGGGAAGTTTTCTTTCCCTCCCCCCACCCTTGAAACTTCTATTATGTGTAGTAAGTTAGCTATCCGGTGGGCCTTCACGCCCAAAAATCTATTGCCCAATTCTTAAAGTGAAGTAACACTGGATGGTATTGGTGTCACTTAGGGATAGGTACTACGCCTGGTGAAAAATAATTTTATACCATGTAGCATTTTATTTTTAAAATGATATCACTGTTGCTCAAATTGTTAGGCCAAATCTTCATGATACCATTGTTACTGGGCATTTTCTGACAATATTGGATTTTACAATATCACTGTTGCTCAAATTGGTATGCAAAGAAAGTGTGTCATGATATCACTGTTGCTCAATATGTTTCTTGCAACATAAATTTTTCATTCTAAACCAAAGTAATTAATATTATTGTTCGAAATTTTGGTAGTATATTCGCAACATCTATCTATTTCACATATAATCCGTGTTTTTCATCCTGACCCCCAGGGGCCGTGTATATTCCTAGTCAGGAAAACAGAAATTTTCACTAATTTTTAGATCTTTCTGAAGTATAGCTTTATTATACTCAAATGAAAGGCAATTAAGAGTAGATTGCAAATATTGTATCTTTTTCTGATTCGAGCCTCGTAAAATTCAAAATGGCCGTCTAATGTACGATTTCGCAATAATTTTTCGATCCTTTCAAAGTATGGCTATATTTCAAATTGAAGGAATTTTGGAGTAGATCACAATTATGGTATTATTTTTCAGATTTGTACCTCAGAAAATTCAAAATGGCTGCTTTGCAGGAATTCGCAATTTTAAAATCTAAATTTTTCAATTTTAACCAAAGTAATGAGTATAATTGATTGGAATTCGGTAATTGATATTTTGTTCGTTGGGATTTGCTACTCCGCGGAGTTGCCGTTATCTAGTTGAATATGTTTCTTGCAATATTTTTTTAGGCTCCATCAGCATTTGATAACAGTATCACTGTTGCTCAAAGTAAATGCTTCATGATATCACTGTTGCTGAATATTCTTCTGATTATACTTTCAGGCTACATCCGCTGATGAGATGGAGGCCACAACAGATGTTGGACTAGTAAAAGGTCATGCTTATGGTATCACAGCTGTTAAAAAGGTCAGTATGAAAAGAATTTGGAAATAATTTGTGTTCGATAGTAGTATTACTTGTTCTTATGTTCTACACCTTTCCTTTCAATTTTGAATAAACTGTTAGATTTTCTTCCATTTCTGTACAATTGAGAGTTTCATCTCGTGTTAACTTTATTTTTTTGTAAATCCACTCTTTTCCACTTTAATTTGCATTTCAAATCTTGTCCCCCCACATCATAGGCGTAGTCAGGGGGTGTGAAGGGTGATCGCACACCCCCCCTCCATAACCAATACAGCGGTGGCGGTAGGCATATATTTTTGTGAGTCATCATGACTCAGGTAGTTTCAAAAAAGTGAGTCACAAGAAAAAAAGTTGAGTCAAAGCTATAAAAGTGTTTTTCTTGAGTAAAAATGCATACAAAATGTAGAAACCACATACAAAATCTATTTTTTGATTTTGTGCATACCTTTTATTGTACTCTTATAGCACATTAACAACTAACAATTAATTAATTAGGCAATTGCAAGAAAAATGTCACTATTAATCATCTGATTATCTGGTCCAGCGAGTCATGGGTGTGAATGGAGTGGGAGAGGAGTTTCTCCCTGTGTGGAGTTACACAAATTGGGGTCAAAGCGTTTCATGTTGAAATTCAACATTTTTGCAATCATTCCAAAGTCTAAAACGGCAATATAAGTCCGACCACAATACTGGGCATCATTTAAATTGAATACGGTAGAATCTTGTAATTATAGCTGATCAAATGAAACCGAAAGTAGATTTGTTTTCATACCTAATTTATCATCATTACCCCCCTTAATGTGCGATCGACTGGATTTTCATGTGCCCATTATCTATCTTCATAGGATCAGCTTCAGATCTAGTGAATCGAAGATCTTAACTTGAGGGAGTTAATTGAAAATACTTGGTGAAAACTTACGATAGATCGGTCACTGTGAGCACCATTGATAAACCTACTGCGCATTACATCTGCGCATGCTGATGAAGGGGACGGCTCAAGGAAACTTGCTAACTTAGCGAAGGAATTTTGCGAACTTGCGAAGGAAACTAAAGATTCGTAAATCTAGCGTGTGAACATTCAAGGGAAGATTTTATGCGGTAATTTAGATAAATATACGATCACTAAAGTCCTTAGAAGGGAGTATGAAATTAATAAATTATTGTTCAATGTTATGTTCGTTTTATTGCATTTTTGATACGCCCCCTAGCAACGTGCTTCACGAGATAAACAAATCGAGGGATCGATCAATGTTTTCAAGTTTATCATTGAATCTGAATCACGGGGCTTTAAAAATTATATGAAATACCGAAATGAGAAAATGATCGGTAGGAAGGAGGCTCGATTGCGCTGAACGAAATGTTAGATTTCCGGAATTAGCAAAATTATAAATTTGATCAATCACGTATTTTCACGTATATGGGTTCAATTTAACCAAGTAACAAGCGGGGATTTTGCATGTGAAACAAACGTGCGTCAGAAAGACTCGGTAGACAATGAATATTTGCGTCAGAGTTGCAAAAATGTGAGTAAAAAACGTAAAAAATTGCGTTAACGCCACCTCTGCAATAAAAATAGAACCATGAGATAGAAGAAGAAAATAGCTTAAATGCTTTTTATTTGAAGCTTCTAGCTCAATTTTGAAGGAAGTTGCATCAATTTGTGTATAATTCAAAATAAATCTTACTTTTTGGCTTGTATATGCTACAATCACACCCCTCCCTGACTGAAAATCGAAAAAAATCGGCGATCACACCCCCCCTGAGTGAAAGCTGGCTACGCCCCTGCATATGTATTGCAGTTTGCAGTAGTGAACTCTTCAAACAAATCTTATATTCAGCACTTTTTCGTGTCTCATTTTCTTGTATTTCCATACACTTTTGAGTGTTACCTACATGCCTGTTTACTTTATTCCTTGCTAAACCCTCTATTGTCCATTCTAATTTGCATTTCATATTTTGAGCCACATGTATTGCAGGTTGCAGTAGAAGGCACTGGGCTGTTTGGACTTTTCAATCAAGAGAAGATGCAGATGATCAGACTCAGGAATCCATGGGGGAAGTGTGAGTGGAATGGTGCATTCAGTGATGGGTTAGTCATCTTTATTATTTATTTTCTTCATATCATTGAATCTTGAATGTCCTTACTCAGTTTGTTTTGTCATGATATGAGAAAATGAAATCTATGAGAAACCTGCTTTGGGACTTCAGTATTGTATAGTATACACCATCATCATTCTTTGATATAATGTTAGAGTACAGATTAAATACAGATACAATACATGTATTTGATTATTACAGAGATAGTTAAAATATTTGCATTCCTTTAAAGGCAGAATCAGATCTATAGGGGTGACAAAATTACAAGCAACATGTACAATTGACCTACCAATCTATTCCAATTTTTGGCCCGCTTGCTAGATCTGATTCTCTCTTTAATGGATGGGTGTATAAGGAAAATGGTTAAAATGGAAAGTTACACATGTATTGTGTTTTTATATCACACTTTCAAAATTGCTATATTGTCCTTGTTTTCGCTTAATATCATAATCACATTAATAATCCTTGGAAATATTTTCAGGTCCAAAGAATGGGAGAAGATTGAAAAAGCAGATAGGGATAAAATTGGACTTACTTTTGATGACGATGGTGAATTCTGGTAAGTGTAATTTACATATTATGGCACGTGTCTTACATTTTATGTACATTGCTATCCATGTTACATTCTAAGAAGTATTTTAAGACCTAATGATTGTAAGATTTTGATGTGATATTGATGGCTGAATTTTACACATATTTTATTCATTTTACTCATAATTTTACTCATAAACACTATGATCGTGAAGTGATTGAGTTCTTAGACTATGGACCCTAAAATCACATGATAATTTATATGTTAATTCTATTGGTGCCCTGAAACTGTGAGAATGACATCACAACAAATAGAAGGCATGATTTATTTACTTCTATGGGATGACCCTGTAAATGTGCATATTGTGATTCATTTTTTGTCCTAAAATCCTGAACTGATTGATGGATCGATCTCAAATTTTTAGGGATGCTTTTGGGCATTCTGGGTAAATGTTAAGGTGGCCATTTTGAATTTTTTGTCCTGAAATCTTGTCTTTTCAACTTATTAGTGTTGGGTATCCCGAATGAAAAATAATTAGGATCACCCATTCTTGGGGACATGTTGTACATTGTACAAGTTTGTGTCCTTGTTAAATATGGTCAAGAAATTACTAATTTACTAATACACATCTTGTATCCTAAATTCAGGAATCGATTTAGGGGAAGCTTTACGAGATTCCTTGATAGCACATTCTCACGTAAAGCTAAAGAAAAAACATTATCTGAAAAGATTGATAGTCATTGCTGCAATGGATGGTATGTTTAATTGGGTGATATCCTCAAATCTCTATTATCAACACATGGGCTAATTTTACAGTATTTGTGAGTTTTGCAAATGATGGGAATTTTGGAGCACTGTTTGGTAATTTTTCTCGATCATCACCAAGGAGTTCATTAGAATATTTGACAACACAAAACAAACAAATAGGAGTTAAAAGCGCATCATGCAAAATTATTTGAAATTGTGATTTTAACATGGGCACAGATTCTTCAGTGCAAGAGGTAATTTTGGTAAAAACAGAAAGAGAAAATCGGCTTTTGTTAGAGCTGATAATGAAACCCTTATACAGGGTGTCTCAAAAAAATGTACACCCTATATTCTTTACAAAGTGCGGTTCAAATCACGAGGTTTTCAGTGGTGTCTGCAATTGAAAACACCTCACAAGTGGTGGTTGAGGCACGGAGCAACCGATTTTCTATTTTTTGATTCCAATATTGTCGGTGCTATGGAAGAAATGCTTTATTTATGGCCAGTATCAGGATAGAGCAACAGCTGTTACTTCCTATTTCAAAATGGCAGATGTAATCTTGAATCCCCAAAAATTGATTCCCTAATTGATTTTCATCAAATAAAAGCTTGCTACCATTGATATATCTCAAAACCAAATCCCTGTGGCAAAATGGTATAATTCAATGGAAACAAGAAATTGTTGATCTCAATCCACCATATTGAAAGAAAAGGTAACAGCCATTACTGTATCCTGATGCTACCCTGTGTTATTGTTATTATATATTTTTTTATTTATATTAGAATTAAAAACATTGTGGCACTGTTTATTTTTGCACAGATTAAACATTTAGATATCAAGGTGCATTTGATAATTAATAGATAGCATAACTTAAATATTTGTGTTTCACATGATATATTAGAAAGATTTCGCAACTCACTTATAGCATGTTTATCATCCCTGTATCACATATAACTTATGAAGCGTTCGATTACGTCATCATTTATTGATCAGCTTTATATCTCCATTAAGTTTGATATTCTTATAAATTGTTGTCTCAAAGAATGTCATATTATGGATGTATAGAGCTGCACAATAAATGGTGATGTAATCCAACGCTTCATAAGTTATACATAATACGGGAATAATAAACATGCTATAAGTGAGTTGCAAAATCTCTAATCGTATTGTGTATTGAAATGGAGTCCATTTTCATCACTAAGTCACTAAGTTACTGTAAAGGAATTTGAATCCCGGGAGGTTCACTCCAATATACCTCTCAATACCTATGCGCCAAAGACCCCCTTTTTGAACATTTTTTCCATGTCAATTTCCTCTCAAGATTGAAAGTTTCCATGTACACTTCCTCTCGGAAGGGAGTTTTCCTGAAATATTGGTGTATAACTATAAAATCACCTTTTTAGGTGATTAATCCCAGACCTCGCCAACTGATTTTACTGATTTATTACCATTATTTGTAGAAAAACTGATTTTTGACTTAAAAAAGGCTCTCTCTTCGACAAATTTTCCATGTTTTTTCCTCTCAGATTGGCCATCTTCCATGGTTTATGCCCTGAGCCAAAATTGCCCCTGCTGCACATGCCTACCCAATTTATTTAGAGTGAACCCCCTGGGATTTGAATCTCTTGAAAGCCCATGGGAGAACACAATTGTTAGTGCCTCTGTTGAAATATGCAATTCTGATTGGTTAAGTGTCATTTTAACTGCTCACCACACAGTAGCATTTTAGGATGATGTCACCATGATGTCATGATAATGAATAGGAAGGAAAAGTTGATAGAATAGATAAATATGAATTTTCAGTTTAGTATTCAATTGTGTGTTTAAGCCATAACTCTTTACATTAACAAAAAATTATAGATGTCAGTTGACTGTTAATCAATAATCAGAGCACTTACTCGGAAAGCGAGGGGTCGTGGGTTCGATCCCCACTCGGGTGGACTGACTTTTTCACATCAGCCCTTAGTACAGGATTTCATTCTGTGTTTTCATTAATTAATTGTCACATATTTTTACAGGATGTTGTTCACAGACTACTGCAAGTATTTCAAGAATATGTCAATCTGTCGTGTCGTCAACACAAGCTTCTTCAGCTTACATAAGAAATACTACGAGTCTGTGTTCCATGGAGAGTGGAAAGCACCTAACAGAGCAGGAGGGTGTTTAAACAACAAAGAAACATGGCTACGCAATCCACAAGTAAGAGGGGTCTCAATTTTTTCAACTGGCAAAATTATGAATGAAAACAGCAAGCGAGATTATTAAGAGGTCCAAATAGAGTTTTTGTCAACAGGCAAAGTGAATTAAAACAGGAAGCGGGATTATTAAGAGGTCTTAATAGGGTTTCTGTCAACAGGCAAAATGAATGAAAAGAAGAATTGAGATTATTGTCACACTTTTTCGAAGTCCTATATTGTTGGCATCTGATGGGCATCTGGACATCTGGGCAAGCAGGCATTTTTGTCACAACAATTGCTTGAAGACCAGCAGATGCAAGATGCAAGAGCAGACTTGTCACAACACCTGATTAGGTATTGGGCATGCTGGGTTGGTTACATGGCTGCAATTTTTCTCCTTGGGCACATTTTTCTCCTTACAACATAGGAACTGAGTACAGTAAAACTGTGAATAGTGAACAACTTTTTGCCAAGAAAAAATGTTCACTGTTGGTAGGTGTTCACTACAGCAATGATTCGATTTTGCGGCATTTTGCCGTATTATAAAAAGAGACCGACTATTGATAGAGAGGAGGGAATAATCAATTTAATTAGTATTTTCTACCCATATTAACCCATGACACTCTAGCGATGAGTATTTGATTTTTTGTAATGTTATATAAACTGACTTATTTTAGACTGACTGTCATCTGATTGGTACATCCTTTTATTGTCAGATTTTAATCTCTCAATAATTATTTTTATCTCATCAAGATGGTCCTTTAAATAGTGGAATCCTTGACATATTTAAGTAAATTAAAGGACTTTATTGAATTAGTTAAAGGACATGATAGATTCAGTTAATAGTGAAATGATCATGAATTATATTATTATAATCCAATCTGTTTCTTAAATTGACAGGATGAGAAAAAAGATTAAGTTGGGACTTAGCAATAACAGTTACCCAGATCTTCTCCAAGCAATCAATCCCAGACACATATTCTGTCTTACAAAAACAAAGCTTATTAAGAATTATAATTAGTCACACCTTTATCAATAGAAGAAGAGATCAAGATCTCAAATTGACCTTTTAATTATTTTTGGCAGAAATATAAACTGCTTAACTCAGATAAGGCAGTTGCAGAAATCTTATATCTGATTCAATGTTCACTAGAGACAGAATAATTTAATTGATTTTGCCAAGATTTAGTGTTCACTGTTCATATTTAGTAGTTGTTCACTATAGGATTGTACTTTAACATGGGAGTCAATGGGAGAAAGAGGTTTTGCCCAAGAAAATCATTCACTGTTGTTAGGGGTTCACTAGAGAGATGAGTTCACTAATTCAGGTTTTACTGTACAATAAATGGAGAAATTGCCTTGTATAAATGATTAATTCGCATTCACTATTAGCAGAGTTACAGTTATATTGATAACCCCAGCATATTAGGGAAAATTGTTTCTACACCCCGAAAGTAATATTTGAAATTGTAACATGGGAGTCAATGGGAGAAAGAGGCTTGCCGAAGAAAAAGGTTCACTGTTGACAGGTGTTCAATGGAGAGATGTGTTCACTAACTGTGTTATTTGGCATGTTATTTAAAGTTTTATTTTCATCCTGAGACGTTTTGGTGGGGGGTACATAAATGTTGTCATCTAAGTTCCTAGAAAACCAGTTATCTGCTCAACTTTGAATTTTTAAGGATGCAAGAGCAGACTAGAGCCAAGATCGGGAAAGGTTTTGGGAATGCTGGGTAAATTATACGGCAGCCATTTTGCTCTTCAAAGTGCAATATTTCTTACTCTTTTTCCAGTATGTATTCAAAATAACGGAAGACGAAGATGAAGATGTGCTGATATCACTCATGCAGAAGTCTCAGAGAGGAAATGGAATCCAAAAGCAAACGATAGGATTTACAATAATGAAGGTAAGACAACATGTAGCACCATTGCTAAATTCTATTATCTGTGGTAGAGCTCTTCAAAATGAAACATGGTTATTTCTACCGCTGCAAATGTGAAATATACTACAGGATTTATTTGTACTGATACCCTATTAAGGCAAAATGTACATCCAACAATAAAATGCCAAGGTTACACTGGAATCCTCGTGTTACACCAATGGCAAAATAGGTGAAAATGTGTACCCCTGGGAAATGCATTATGGGAAATATTTTGACCTTATAAGGAAATACATTTTCTTTCAATTGAAGAGCTCTATGTGGAAAGGAGATTGTGGATGGCATTCAAACTTGTATCCCTTCCAATTTCAGCACCAGTATTGTCATGACATTCTGAGATGAAGTTATGCTGTCATGATATTACTATTGCTATAAAAATGAAATTAGGATTTCATGATAACACTGTTGTTGAAAAGGGAGTTGCCTCATTAGTGTCACACTAAATGCTTCAATGATCTATTTTTTTTATTAACATCTAGATCATCCCTACCCCCCCCCCCACACACACACAGTTAGCTGTATTTATGTTAGGGAGACGTGTGTTTTAAACTAAATCTATGAAATCTATGAGTGTGTTTGATGAATTTCCCCACATGACTGAAAATGCCTGATGTATTTATCAATAAGTAGAGAAAATAATGTGTTTACAGTAGTGTTGAATTTGATGTTCAAATAATCTAGCCTTTGTCTATAAAATGGCGGTAAATTAAAATATTTGAAAATATAAGATGAATAACTTTTTTTTAAAACTCACATTTTTCCAAAAAAAATTGTTTTTCAAATCACAAAAACTTACAATATTTTTAAATTTTGCATGGTGCCTTAAAATTATCATCCAATGAAATGTCATCACAACCTAGTGTTTCAAGTTTAAAATGTTTGGTTTAGTTTGGTAGTTCCCAATGTCCCTTATATCTAAGAAGACAACATTTAACCATTGATCATTCTATTTTATGTATGAATAAAATTCCAGTTTTTACATTATACAATATTTACATCTCCCATATATGATAATATTTACATGCATACAGTGAAACCTGTATATCATAATGTCCTAATGTGCACTTAAATTTGAAAATTAAATTTCTACCCACTATCGAATTCAAAATTCTCTCAAATCATCTGTTCACCGTGATATGTCAAGATTGAGGTATGAAGAACTCACTCTGAATTTTAGAGATCCCTATCCCAACTGCTTGAACATTAACAGATTGTAAAAATATTTCTAATCTTAATTAATTGTCTTTAGTGTACATTGACATCTTGTTCCTTTACTGTCCATATTGTCATCAATTTTGCCATTCATTTTGATGTCAGCAGTACCATTTACAATATAATTACTGTCCATTTTGACATCATCATCACTCCCCACATTGACATCGCTATCAAGATCTCCTTTGACACCCTCATCACAGTTGACATCACCATTGCAACCCACTAATCCAAAGTCAATCATTTGGGCATTTATACTATAACTTGTGGCATTTACACTATAACTTGGATTTGAGTTTGGGATTGGGCCATCTGCATCATAGTGTACGCCAATCTGTTTACGTATTGTGTCCATGAGTTGATGAATGAGAGTTGAATCTTTATGAGGAGCACTTGCATTTTGGAGTTCTCCTGAAATGTTATAAATCACAACTGTCTAGTAATCACAATATACAATATAAAGGGTTGTCAAAAAGTAGGTTGGTAGGTAACTGTGAACATACTTGTGGGCCACCCAGTGACATCATATCTGATTCAGTTGAAAGTTTCAGTTCTTCATTATCAAAGAGAATATGGAATATTTGAAAAACTGAAAGAATTTTAGCTCATGAATAGATGTACATGTTTAATTTTTTTATTCATGAATTATACGGCAGTGAATATCTTCTCAGAATATGGTTGAATTTTTCATTAATCGAGTAGGGTTCTATCCTTTTCATCGTACTTTTCATTTTTCATGGTACGAGAATGTACCCAAGTCCTAGGGAGGAGATATGTTGCAGATTTTGTATTTATGTGTCGATATTTTTAACAAACCTTTCAATAGGCTCTCTCTAACAGCGGCTGCCTGATACTGGAATCCTGGTGTGTTAAACCATCGCTCGATAAATTCTCCCTTTGGCAGTGGGAAGTCTTTCCTTTCTCCATCTTTAACAATGCTTGTAGGGCACCAGAACTTATCCGGAATCTAAAATTTTAACATGTATCTAATTTTAACATGTAATCTTATTTAACATGTATCTAATTTTAACAGATTTGAGTTGTTTTGTGGTTTTTATTACATGTTGTTTATGATGGTCAGTAATGTTTCTTGTTTTCTTGCTGGTCTTAATGCGATAACAGTCCAAATAAAGCTAATTACATCACCTATTGCAAATGTAGATTTGTGCAATACGAGGGTTGTCCCAGAAGTAATGCACTATATGCTCTAACTTTATCAATAATTGATATTTTTCCATGAAATTTTCAGTAAATGTTCCTTAGAGACATTTTGATGATTCAACAAATTTTCATGTTGATTATTAAAACTATATCGATGTTATAATAAAATCAAGTTGGTGAGTCTGGGTAGGGCGGGGCAGGTTATTCAGTCACGTCAAAAGGAATAAAAAATTGAAAATATGAAATAATTAATCAACAAATACCATTTTGTGTAGCTATAAGAAGTATGCTCAAAAATACATATTAAGATGTTCAATTACCATGAGCACATCCTAGATTTAATGGATGTATAATGCACAGTGTCCCATTTCACATTTTCTCTAAATATTGCCCTTTGCATGTTATGTACTTTTGATGCCTGTCAGGTCAAACAATCTTGGCAATTTCTTCCACTGTGACTTGTGGAGTTTTTGCCTTCCATGCTTGGAGTTGTCATCCAGGGTCAAATCATCTCTTTTAAATCTCTTCTGCCACCTCATAAGTGTAGTTCTTTCTGGTATATACTCCTTATATACTTTCTTCATGGTAGCATACGTTTTGTGTGGCTGTGAGTCCAAGTGAAGTATGAAATTAGGCCACCAAACGCAAGGCCTTCTGTTATCAGGTGAGAATTGCAGCCATTTTTGCAATTTCTTGACTGCGACTGTATTTGAATTTGTGACTATTGAAATGTGGTATTATGACATCACAGTGCGTAATGTCATTATTTGTACTTGGTTAACATCATGCTGAATAAATTTAACAATTTCCCAAACATTTTGACCATTTAAAAGAAAGAAATATTCATAAAATAACACTTTAGATCTTTTCATAATGAGAAAAATCGGTACCTGCCCCGCCCACCCCTACCCCAATGTTGCTATAGCAACCATATTAAGACTTAATACTAATATTTGATGCTGAAACTTCAGGATATAACAGATAAAACTTCAATTGTTATATACACAAAATTTCAGCTAATTTGAAGAATATTAAAGAAAGTTAGAGTATATAAGTGCATTACTTCTGGGACAACCCTCGTACATGTAACTTTCCAAATACATCATTCAACCATGAGAAAACAGTATATCGGGACCTTCCTATCACCGTTTGCCTTCTGTTATGGAATGTATCAATTATTTTTCTAGAGCTTGATTGATGAGAAAAGTGGTGTGTTCAAAAAATTTAATTTTGCAGCTTAGATATATTTCTATTCAATTTCAATTTAATTCATCCATACATTCAATCATCATGTTTACAAATATCAGGCGTTTGTTTTACTAGAATTTCGGGCTAAATAAATGAAAACAATAGGCAAAAGTAATGGATATCATGAGTTTAACATGGAAAAGTTGAAAAGTCCCAAAAAACAACAGGCAGTTTTGTGAAAACAACTGGTGAAAATCGCCTGTTGCCTGCTGCTATGAAACCCCTGAATATTATTATTAATAGCAGTTGGCATCATAGGTGTGCTTATATCTGTACCAATATTTGGATATTTAATTGAATATCCCACTTCCACAAAATATGAGTACTGAAATTAAGATGAAAGACAAGCTGAGACTACCGGATTAACCTACTGTTTTATGGGGAACTCATTTAAATATGAATAGTACCTGCCACTATTTGATTCATATTTAAATGAGTTAGACATAAAACAAAAGGTCAAGCTGGTAGTCGACAGCCGTTATTTGCATTCGCGAATACAAACTAACTTCGACATATAGTATCCCCATGTTGCAACTGCAACAGTATGACCTGCTCAGAGAATAATCAAAGTATGGACAAATGACAAATTATTTATCTGCTCATCCGAATATCAGATTTAAAATACATTTAGTTTCGCATCCAGCTTTTGGTTATATATAGTGTTGATATACATGTGAAATTGTTTTTGATTTTTACCTCTATTATTCCCTTACTGCCACAGACCATTGCCTTATTTGGCAACCACATTGTGATGTCACATGACAACTGAGCAGTTCTGTTACCGCTGTAGTGCAGTGTTATGGCAACCTTCTCATCGACACCTGGAATGAAAAATAAGCAATTTTAATGATTCCCTAAAAAATGTGTTCCAATTTATCGCTGCAAAAATAATTACACCCCAGTTACACCCCTCAGAAACATGCTGTCATATAAACTTTAATTACACCTCCAATTTTGGAAATTCAGTCCTGATATGAGAAGAATAGGGATTAAACATTGAGAAAATTTGTATAAAAATTCTTAGGAGACATTTTTTCCAATCGATTCTTTTTGAGGTTCAGATATTCACTTTATGAGTGTTTTTGATAAAATTCTACAGGCCTATTACCTTCTTCATTAAGAGATCCAGTTGACTCTACTCCTATGGGAGGATCCTCAAATACAAAACAAGCCAGTTGTAACAGGTAAATTCCTAGATCTAGTAACGAGCCTCCTCCTGTAAATACAAAACAAGTGATTTTACATTACTGTGTATTATTTATAATCCGAGTGGTTAATTTGCAGAATGGTCAAATTTTATCATTTTCTTAATATTTATTTTCCTAATGACAAGAAACTTCCCATTGGATAACATGATGAAGATATGATTTCCGACATTTAATTTTCTGAACCTGGCAAAAATAATTAATTAATTTGCAATTGGCAAATTGAATGATAAGCCAAAGTTACCACTTGTATATTGTATACAAATAGTGCGAGTGACTGCCATTGTGAAAAATAATGCAAACTATTTTTTCTGATGGAATATCCTGTCCACTCACATATGGGAACATTATTTGCTAAGAAGAGCTAAATAAACAAGTTATGAGAGCTTAATACATTGAGACAAGTATTTAGACCAGGTTTTTAACTATTGGGAATCTGTAATGAACACAGAGTAAATGCACAATCGTCAAAATTATGAGTAACAATGCAGTTTCATTTCCAGAATTGTACATTAAGCTCTTCTCTCAATATAAAAGTTGACTCTCAACTTATAGCAACTCCTAATACAATCATGAATGATTTCCTTCTTGCCTAGATTATTGATGTCAAAAATAAGCAATAACGTACACATATTTTCTGAAAAAGCCCTGATAATTCTTTAAGATACTTGAAATTAGCTCATTATGTTTTATGCAGGGTTCCCACTAGGCTTTTAGCCTCCAGAGATTCTCCAGAGTCTAATGTCTTAAAACCCTCTTGCTACAGAGTCTTATAGCTTTTCCGGAGTCTAAAGTGTTTTTCCGGTGTCTAATTTGACATTTTTGTCACACTATTTGCGGTAAAACTCTTGAGAAAATACATAAAACTGGATACAAACAAGGAATAGGAAGTCAGAAACCTTTTATAGAAATAAATATTGGGATTAAAATTAGCAAGATAATCTAAAGAAGTATGTTGAAAAGTATACTAATAAGATATCTCTGATCTCACATTGGGGAGAAGTAGTCGCGATACCACGAAAAAAAAGTAGTCACAATACCGCAAAAAATCCGGGGTCTAAAGATTTCTTGGTGAGAACCCAGTTATGGCTGTAAAATTGTCTCTGTAAAATTTAAATCAATATACGTAGCTTCAAATTTATTAATTTTGATATTAATTCTTACCTAATTCTTTTTTGACAAGCCTTGGAACGCCCGTAATGGGAGACCCGAGGGTAGCATGTAGGTAGCGTACAGTACCTAGACTTTGTGTATCAAGCTCATGTCTCAACTGTCTATAAACAGGAAAGAACCTACTCCATAACCCCTAAAAACAATATGAATTCATTTTATACAAAAATAACTTTTTGTTCCAGAAAGTGTTACGAAATACTTCACAAAAAAACTAAATGCAAATTGAATTCAGGGTCAGGATCGTAAAGGGTTACATTTAGCTTCCTGGATAAAAACAATATGGCGATTCCAGGCATGTCTACTGGATCGGTCATTTTTATTGAAGAAATTGGGAGAGTTTTATAAATTCCAGTCAACTGAAATCGTATTGAAGATAAAATAATGTGGGATCTAACGTTCAGTTGACTAAACGATATGCGTTACGCTAATTAGATAGGCAGGAATTAGACTAAAGGATGGATATTACTTCATTTGGACTTAACTTTAACTACAGTTTTCTTGAAAAAGTGTCTAAGAAAATATTTCTGTAATTTTTTTCCTCGTGCCTGGCTGCGCCCATGAAAGCAGGAATCTTTAGTAAAAAATTATCTCGTGAACCCCTCCTCCCTTGCTCGCTCTTTTGAGTATAAAGTGTTATAAACACACATTGATCTAAGTACGCAACTTCACCGTACAATATACCCACATATCTATACACTATTAGAATATTGTATAGACTTAATAAAGTAATTATAAATACCTCCATGAAAAATAATTTCTTTTTATCAGCTAAACGGATCATTTCATCAAGTTGTGCAGAATTCATGGCAGCTGGTTTTTCACACAGTACATGTTTACCATGCATCAGGAACAATGTTGTTAGTTTATAGTGTTCTGTATGAATGGCCCCTATATACACAACCTCTGAAAATAACAGAATATTAAATATATGGTGTCAGTAAAGTCTCTTTACACTTAATGCAGACTTGTATTGCAATAGTAAAGATACTATGGACACCCTGTATATCATATATAAATTTTACTTTTTAAAAAATTCCAGGTGAGGGAGTTCACTTTTGACAACTTTACCCTAAAATTGGCCAAAACCGCCTCGAAAAGTGCTCAGAATGGTGAAAAAGTGCATGATTTTGAAAGGATATTTGGCCAGGTGGGGTTCACTGAAACCTCTGAACCCCCCCCCCCCTCCTGGCTACAGGCATAATAATTATGTGTAGTTTAAATCTAATCCATAACTTACCAACATTGCTATCGTCTGCGAGTTGCTGATATGACCCATATGCTTTTGTGTTGTCAAGTTTGTAATTTTTTACAAACTGCTTGGCCTTTGTAAGCTCCCTAGATGCAACAGCTATAATCTAGAAAGAATGAATTGAGGCTTTTCTATAAAGCTTTGAAATCTCGTTAAAAGAGATCTGCATTTTTAACCACTAAAGGCTAACATTTTCTTCTATTTGATGGCATATTTGAATTCTGTGTACTTTTCTATCAAAACAACTTTGATGTGACTGTTATTTTTATTCAATTTTAGAGATTTTCAAGTTTTCTAAAAAGGGTCGGGCTAAATCCCCATTGACACAATGTTGAAAAACCTTTAAAAGTTCATTTACTTTTATAAGGATCACAATTTTAATGTGTAATCACAATCCCAATGTCAATAATATCATTTGCAATAGTGTTTTTAGTTGATTTAAATGGAATTATTTGTTAAATCAAGAAATTAAGTGACTCTTGCTATTAAGTTGCCATGTTATTTAGCCCTACCAATACCCATGATGCCATCTATTTTTCCATATTCCGGATTTTCCCGCATATACGCCCCCCTAAATTTAGGCCCATTGGCCAAAAATCGAATGTAGTACGCTTATACGCCCATGGGCCTATAAAAATGACTATTTATTGATTTTTTCAATAAATTCAAGAGTATTTTGTCACTGGCAGATCGTTCTGATATAATTTTGTTTCAACATTAATTTCAACGCTGTGCCGTAAGTGGCAGTGGTGGATCGTTCTGTTGTTACTTTGTTTCAACATTAAGTCCAAGGTTGTAGGTGACATTTCCTTTATAATTCTTACAAAACATGCGGTAGGACTACAACAGTAGGTACGGTAGTCTTTGAGGAACCATTGTATTCATCAGGTCTTCTCACCTTTACGCCCACTGGGCCAAAAATCGAAAGTAGTACATGGGCGAAAAATAAGAGGTAAAATAACAGACGAAATTACCCCTTCTTTCAGTTATACGCCCAGGGCTTATATGCGAGAAAATCCGGTATATGGAAAATGGGCAGCATTTTTGTACATGCTGTTTTTCACCGTGGTTGGAAATACCACTGTGTAATACAAATAAATTACACAACTGGGTCAAATTCACTTGCACCGCAGTCATTGGAAATATGGCCTAGGTTTTCTATTCAAGATGCCAAATGAATATACTGGAGTGTAGAGCAAAGAAGTATTATAATTTTAGTGTGTAACTGTACTTAGTTGCTTTACATATATGTATTCATCTGAAATTAAAAAGGAATGGTCTTGGAATTAAGCCCCTTTATATCCCCTCGCTTCATGCTATTCTCTCTGTATTATACATAAAAATGTTCAATCCACACATCAAAAAATGTTTTAGAGGATAGAATACCAAATGCCTTAAATGAATATAAAAAATAGAGATCAAATGGTAGCATTAACTCATTGCTGGCCAAATATATTTTTGAGGTTTTCTGCTGGTGATTGGCCATTTGATAAAAAATTGATCAAATTGCCATATTTTCATATTAGCATTTTAATGGACTGTATCAACACCGTCTTTGCTATGTCGAATACCATCGTGAAGAGCAATGACAATTAATTTCAATTGCATCACTTATGTTGCCTCCTGTTTTTTTTTTATTTGAGCCAGGCCACAGGAAAAGAGGTCTTATCACAGATTTTTTCAATATTCTGATTTTTTGTTTATCTAAAAAGCACTAAGAGACCTTTCAAATGAGCCATGGCTTGTGTCCTAACATTTTTTCCTTGCATATAGAGACCGAAAAGTCGGATTTGAATTTAGCACATTTTCCTTTTAATCTTGGGCACACTTTTGGCTCTCTAGCACAATTTTTATTTTTGTGATAAGACCGGTTTTCCTATGGCCAGGCTCATTTAATATTTGTAACATTATGATTGATTGTATGAATAAATTGAAATTGAAATTGGATTCAATTAAAATAAAATGAAACATTTTCTCACCTTATGCTCCTCACTCGGAAGTAAATTCACCGCCACAGAAAAATCTCGACTAACTTTCCCCGCACTACAAATTCCCCACTTTGTTGCCATGTTAAATGTTAATATAGTACTCCAAATCCAGATGCAGTCTGCTCTGTTTAAGATATTTATGGATTGTTAACTGTTGACCAATTCTTAAACCAGTCAATCGACTGTTATAGAGATGCAGATGTTTTAATCAACCGTTGATATTTTGCCAGAGGTTTATCATACTTTGGACATACAGTATATTAACCTCTAATTAACATTATTTCCATTTAGTTAGAGGACGAACCAATTAAACATTAATATTTTTAAATTAAGTTTTTTGTGACTCTTAGTAGGATCACTGTATGCTTTCAGGTCAGTCTGAAGCTGGGAAGTTTTATTGAATCTATTAACAAAGGCCTATATGGGTTTAGTGATTATGTTAATTGATTGAAATTAATAAGCATAGTTTTAATAATTAGAAATTAATAAGCAAATCTCAGCAATATAATTAAAAACTGAAATAGCATGGAATTGATTAAAAATGTTATAACATGAATATAATATCCCCTGGGCAGGGCCGTAGCCAAGATCAAGATTTTGTCGAGGCAAGATTTCAGCCAAAATGTTTTAAAAGAAAATGAACAATTTGGTCCACTCTCACCCTCTGTCCAACAGGCCTGCCAAAACCACGCCTTAAGGACACCTTATGAGTATACCAAATGTGGGCCTCAGAAAGTATACCAAAACTGTGTCTCTCAATAGGCTGGGTGTAGCCAGGATTTGGTTTCTACTCTTAGCTAAAGGACCACAGAAGTTATGGCAACAGATTTCAGACAGTCATATATTGGATTGTGGCTATTTTCCTAGGATATGAACAGGTGCATATATTATGTCAATGCATTATCTCCAGGAAAAATGCTCATGGATATGATAAAATAATTTGAACTTTGAGACAGAAAAAATGCCTATTTTCAAAATAGCCGACATTTTTGTCTTGCGAAATTCACTTTTGGCCCATTTCCTAGCTTTACAAATAATTTCAGGTGTCCTGCATTGTAAAAAGCCATGTCACTTTAAAGAGTATTTGTATGAATTAACATTGTTACAAAAAATCAGCAAAAAATTATATTTGTTTTTTCTGCCATTTTAGCCATCATTCACTTTTGAGCACCATGTGAGCCCAGTACCAAAGGCACTATTTATTCCAATGCTTGAGGCTTCTATTTATTTCAATGCTTGATGTATCAATATGCTGCGTTTTGAAATAGGGTAAACTTCTAAAAGGAAAAGTTCATTTATTTATTGGTTTAAAAGATCAATTTTGGATGACCAAAATTAGAAATGACAAGAACAAATGTGCCAACTGCAAACCTTACTAAAAGTAGATAAAAACAAATTTAAAACAAACTTAATAATAAAAAACAAATTGCAAACCTGACTGAGACTAAAAACAAATATGCAAACTGCAAACCTGACTGATAATAATTGAAAACAAATATGCAAACTGCAAACTGATAACAATTAAAGTAAATATGCAAACTACATTCTTAAAATGCCAGTAATATGAATAACAACTCAATCTGTCATCATCTTTCTCCATCAAGCTTAGGACCTGTCCTCACCTTGATATTCATCAACTTATTATTTATTTGCTAAATAAACAAAACCCCAGCTTGTTCACCCTCTCAGATATATTTATCAATGGTGTCTCGAATTTCTCATTTGAACCTAAGGGATAGAACATGGACCTAGTGAACATCAATTAAATGTCAGCATGAATGCATGTATATCATATGCATATTTAATGTATATTATTACTCAACTCAGGGTAGCTAGAGGCAATTTTTACATTCAGGTCTTATGCAGGGGCGGATCCAGGAACCAACAAGGGGGGGGGCCCAAATTACAGGTCAGAGAAAAAACATCCGCGCTTGCGCGGCAAAAAATTTTGGGCCCCTAAAATCCAAAAGTGGGCCCAAATTTTGAAATTTTGAGGCCCATTTTCTTCAAAATTTGGCCTGAAATTAACAAATAAGGCCTTAAAAGGCCCAGTAATGACCAAAAAGGCCCACTTTTTGGGGCCTGAAGGCCTTGTTTGGCCCAAAAATTTTTTTGGGCCCAGTTTTTTTTTCTGGGCCCACCCAAGGGGGGGGGGGCCCGGGCCCCTGGGCCCCCCCCCCCTAATCCGCCAGTGTTATGTAACATATTAAATGGGGTAATATAGTAGCCGGGACAGAGAAAGTCATCCATCTCTATTTTTGTTTTATAATTTAAACTTTAATATATGTTTTGATTTTTATTATTTTCAAGCATCTTTCTTTTGGTCTTTCAGGTTTTTTGGTTATTTGTTATCAAGTTTTGATAGAAAGCCATTGGGGAGTTGAAAAGACAATTCATGGACTTTTGTTACACCAAACAGAAAGCATTGTTCCATGAATTCTCCCTTTCATTTATTTAATAAAGCATTACAATTTTTTATTTATTTCAAATCATACTCAAGTTATAGTGAAATGAAATTCTTAGGTGGAATTCTTCAAAAAATATTGGACAGTCTCCTGACCAATATTGAAATAAATATTGGACAATTTTCAAAAAGGCCAGATATGGCCAAATTACCAGCACCTTAGAACCAATCAGATTTCTAGACAAGGTGTAAAATAAATATATTGATATATAATATATATAGAGTTACTTGAATGTTCATCATATACATTCAGTTGAGAATATATTCATGATTATTCAATGTCATTTCGCTGAGGTATTCAATTGATCTCATTTAACACATGGATCAATTATAAACTTGTACTGTCCATGACAGGATCCTCTTTTAATTGTCCTGTTTTTCCATTCAATACATTTGTTCCAGCACTGCAATTCAATGAAGACTGACCGCTCTTATTCCCTCTCATACATTTACTTTTTATCTCATTCAAGACAACCTTAGTACATACACTAGAGATAAAAATGAAAACACCCTGGCTTGCATTTAATACAATGAACACATAAACAATGGCCTCGTGTACAAAAGGTGCAATGAATCCAAAGATCCATGTGAAGCCCATAATGATAAAGAGTTTGATATAGACATCAAAATGAAAGTTATTTCTATTGGAGACCATTGCTGTTTGCCTCCATGCTGATTTTAGTGAGGACACGGTTAATATGTACATAATTGTATTGAACACAATCATAACTCCTAAAGGACAGGCAAAGAACAATAATGTAGCATATGGATTACTCATTTGACATGTTTGGACTTCTGAGTTTAAGTTTTCCCCATTCTCCAACTTTGATGTACTTGGCACTGAGTTTGTCGTATCAAAATCTGAGTTTGGTATGCCAGTTACTGAGTTACCATAAAAAGGCTTGAACCTTGTGTCAACTGAAACGTGATCCAATGTAACTGCCACAGATATTACAATTACAGGTAGGAACATTGATATAAACACATAGAGAAGAATTCTTTTCCATCCTTTTGAGTTATGAAGAGTTGACCTGAATGTCAGGTACATTTCCAGTGCAATGATTCCCATCCATGTGAAAGATACCAAAAAGAAGAAGTGAATCAGGATCCCGATAGCTTCACAAAGGCTTGGTATATCAGTCACAAATGGGCCAATCAAGTACAAAATATTGGAAACACATAATGAGGATACAAAACAAAACTGAATTTTACCAGCAAATGAGTGAAAGATGCTGACAAATGCTTGGGAGATGAGACGAAGCAACATGCATATGATTGAGAGTGTCAAACATATTATAGTGACCAGACCCATTATTTCCATAGACTGAAGGCCAACCTTTTTGACTCGATTGTCTGTTTGATTCAGGAATGTGCCATTCAACCAATCGTAACATGTTACCAAATTGACAACATCTATGCAAATGGTCAATGTGTCAAAGTCGGAGTCTTCATCACTTGTTGAAAAAAATTCGTCCTTCATAAAGTTCATCATAGCATCCACAGTGTCGTTGTGAAATTGGTGCATTGTTAAGTTCCTTGAAATTGGCAGTTTCACGTTGATCTTAGCAACAAACAGTCCCTTCAATCTTTTACTATCTGTATCATAGTCTTTTGAGAAGCTATATGATATCTTATCTACAAATCTTTTGTTGAGTGTTTTTGAAACATCTAACCTGTCAAAAACAAATGACAAATCAGAGACAAATTCACTACTGATGTCCATAACAGAATATACTTCTCCAGGAATACTGTATTCGAATGTTGCAGTAACAGGTTTAATGTCATACATCAATACACATGTGTCATTTTGTAATTCATATCCAGCAATACATGCATCGTTACAGTTGCTAAGATTTTCACATCGGAATGATCTCCTTTTACCATTGATATTAAATTCAACTAAGAGCTCTCTGTCTGGGTTGATATTCATCACTAAGGAAAAAGAAAACCTTTCTAATATCGGGTTATAATGACCATTTGTCTTCGAGCTGCAGTGTTTATTGGCAAACACATCCCCTGGCCAATCATTTGCACATATAGCACAGTACTCATTTTTGTATATGTAATTTGTGGCATACATCTGTACAGGATTAGTTTCACATAGTGTTTGTACAGTTTCATTGAATTCACAGTCTGGGTGGCAGGTTGATTCATACATCCAACACTGATGCCCCATTTGATCAAACACTAAAGTGCAAGTTTTAGTATATAAAGCTTGCTGTAGCTTTTCCATGTTGTTAAAGTTGAGTGGAAAAGGACATGTAAATTCAGTAGGCATCTGAAGCTCACCATTTGTGAAATTGTTACATTTTGCACAGTAGTCATTCAAGTAATACAGACCAGTGTTATTGTCAAATACTGGCATATAACCTTCAAGAAGATCCAAGCCATGTGGGTTACATTGTTTGTTACTTGAATCTGGACATGTTGTTATCATCTTTACAGGCACATTGTGTTTCATTTTTGTACAATCCCATTGGATTTGTTGGTCTTGGACCGATTCCATGATCCTATGTGAGTGTTCCGCCATAACAGGGCAAATCTGTGTAAAGTCAGAGCAGCAATCATTATTCACCAAACAATATACATCACATGCACAATGTCGATCTGGACTTGTTTTATTACCACAGTTACCATGACAACTGTAGAGTTGAGGCATGTATGTTGTACAGTCCTTTACCTCGTCCAAAGCTGTCTGAAGTGTCTCCTGATTCTCACACGGTCTTGCATATGAAGGTGTTGATGTCTTGTCATTGTTATGTTCTGTTGTCACACTGAGTATTGACTGTGAAGTCTCCTCATTGTTATGTTCTGTTGTCATATTGAGTATTGACTGTGAAGTCTCCTCATTGTTATGTTCTGTTGTCACATTGAGTATTGACTGTGAAGTGTATTCGTAGTCGTGTCCAGTTGTCACATTAAGCCTTGATTTCATGTCATTTCTTATCGACAAATCTGTTGCATTCCATGAATCAGTAACATCAATTTTTCCTGTCGTGTTGTGTTCACTTGCTACATCAAATGTAGATTGTGTTGCTTTAATATGTTCTGTTGTTATTTCACTTGTAATATTAAAATCTGTTGCTTTATGGTTTCCCTTTGAGATTTTTGTATTGTTACCAACTTGTCTGGTGTCTCCACAAAACAAAAGTAGAACCAGAAACATGAAAATGTTCAGGGATATTCTCAGTTGTACAATGTTTTTCATCTTAACGGTTAATTGTAGTATTTATAAATGTGCATCCAACTCGGATCCTATAGTCATTCACCTTAAATGTTTTATGATATATTTTGACTCTATCGATTACCTTTGACTTCCTTCACAGTTCCATTTACTTCATAATTTCATCACAAATGATAGTGTCCAACCTCTCCTTGGTAACCAACCTTTCCTTGGTAACCAACCTCTCCTTGGTAACACTCTGCAACATTCATCTTATCAAATATAATATTACTCTAACTCCTGGATCCCCATTTTATCTTTCAGTTGTTCACCTGCACTTCCAGTTATGATGTGTTGTGTTTTTCTTTGATTGTATATATTAACTTAGATAAAATCAGTATTGCTCTTGTAATAGTTCTAAAATCAACAACTTAGCCATTAATATCATTCACTATTCCTGCATATATGAATTTATATTCCCGTTAAATGTTGTTTTTATGAGCAATTTTTTATCATATTTATATTGTTTTTCTTTGAGTAATGACGCAAATGGGAATGTGTGTTCTTTATTGCTTACAATAATTATTTTCCGATGCAACAATGTATTTTCATTCTATGAGCAAATTACATAAATCATACCTAAGACCATGAATTTATATCTGAAACTTTATTTAATAGGAGGTCATAGTGAAGGTGATCTTTGATTTATTTATAAACAAGATTAAAATACAATACTTAATGGAAAAGCTATTAAAACTATTATGTCACAAGATTCATTCCTAACCACTAAATGATTTATCTGTTTTGATTGATATTGTAATGGCAAGAGGCACATTGAAACCCGTTGTTATGTCAACACCACAAGTAGTGACATATTTATAGTCTCCTTTTTTTGATCTCCTTGGCATCTATAACAAATGACAGGTGGTGACATTTTACATGTTAATACCTTATCTCTCTATTGTAAGAGGCAAAACAACTTGATTTTTATTTTTTTAAAAGGGTCGGAGTGAATGTGAATTATTCATGCATATAATTCTAACAAAATGATTAAGAATTCTAGAAAACAGAGAAAAATCACCCTCTTTTATTCATAGGAAGGTTCACTTAAAGCGCTGTTTTAATTTGAATTGAGGATGCTATCAAAGCTATTGAAACCATTGTATTGGATGGTAATGGATCCATTACCAGCCATTATATGATTCAATTATCAGGCAATTGATAGAATTATTCGTTAAGCATTTGGACTTAGTGACATGCACATCAGACAAATATCATAAATCTGGTATTTTTGTGCTAAAATAATTGAAATACATGAATTTAATCAAGATCCCAATCAATTTCTCACTTTTTAATTTAAATGGTACATTTATTACTGATATTGTTTATTACATATTGTTTGAAAGTTTTAATTTTTGCTCACTCAGGGTAACTTTGCAGTGGTATCCAATATCCATGTAGCATATAGATATTATTAAAAGCCCTCATAAATTATTAAAAGCTATGATGAAGAAAACAATATCTCATCTTCATCATAGTTAAAAACAATAATAAATAGCCTTTGAAAAATGACCCTTGGGGCTATTGGACTGAAAATCACTTTATGTTTATATTCTATAAGAAGTCTGGGTAAGTGCTGTTTTGAAAAAAATGAATGTATGAAAAAGTCATTTGTATCGAGTCTTGTATGAATACTATAATAGTATAGTATCTACAACTATTTTTGATGTTATGAGTATTGGTTATCAATTTATATACATTATTCTTCAGTATATGTTATAATGACTTTTGTTTGAATAAAATGTCCCTTGGTGTTGTGGTCTTGGATTGTTATGGTGGGGAAGAGGGATATTAGACATTCCCTTCTATCACATTAGATTATGGTTTGGGATATTTACGTTAAATGTTTCTTTTATAACTGTTATACATTTAGATTTTTTCTTTTTTTTGCTGAGTTCTTTAACAATTTTTGGTTGTTTCTCTCTCATTGGAACTTGTACTTACATATTTCACACTGGTCAGTACCCATCAGTCCAAATTTAATATCCCAATATCTCTAGAGACACACCACTTTTGACTCGAGGAGTGTGGCGATGCATCATTATTGATGTTTACACAAATGAATAGTTTTACAATACTAAGGTCCATTTATAAACATTAAGAAAAGGACATTTATCAATAAGGGTCATTATTGACCTGTAAAATATTATTCTGTATTATTTCTAGGGAAGGAAATATGTGTATTTAAAGGTAAAACAATTAGTCTCTTTTTTCAGGTTGAGGAGAATCGAGAATATCGTATGCATAAACCACAAGAGATCATCAAATCCTCATCATTTAAGAACAGTCGGAGTATTTTCCTGCGGCTAACTCTCAAACGTGGTACATATGTTGTGTTGCCGTGTGGGTTCGAACCAAACCAAGTTGGGAATTACCTGTTCAGAGTCTACACTAGTTACACCAACCATTGCAAGTAAGTCAGAGGAGGAAATACCCAGAATTCATAGTTGACCCTTTCTCTATGTATCGACAAGCCTCTAGAGGTTTATTTTTATATTGAGATTCATCTTTGTATTCTGGGGTGTTCCCCTCCCTTCAAATAAGTCATCAATGAAAGTTTGCTCATTAATAATATACAGTACAACCTGTATTATCTGAACACCACCATGACTGGCCAAAAGTGTTCAGATTAGTAGGTATTCACATTCCAAATGAATATGTAGGAATGTAACAAAATTGGGATTGAGTGTACGCATTGAGAGGTGTTCAGATTAGAGAAAAAAGAATTTAATTTCATATTTTGAAAAAGAGCTCACTACTACCATTAACACACTACCAACCCCAATACTGTAGCTTGTATTTCTTTAAAATGGATACAGGCTACATTGAAGTTGCAAATAGTCAATTTTGTATCACTGCATTTCGCAACCATGGTGGTTTGAAAGCCCATAGTTTCCAATATTGACTTAAGATACACATCCCCTAAAATTGTACATTTTACATTTTGTATACTCTCATAAACTGATTTATAGCCTCTTGAAAATTCTCTTATTTTTAACATGGAAAATCAGCAAATCCATTACTAATTATTTATTGCCCTAACTGTAATTGATATTCTAATGGGCTACAAAGGCATGAATACAGTTCTCAATAATGTCCTTACCTTAAGTAATAACAATAAATATGGTAAAAATGATTTGTTTTTTTTGGAATTCTTTTATGCTATCATCAGAAAAAATTTCTTGCATGATGTATGATATTGATTTTACTTTAACCGAAAGATGCCTCGAGTTAGCCCATACATAAAGTGCACTGAAACCTGTCTATTCTGAATGCTATGGGGACTATCTAAAAGTGTTCGGATTGGCAGGTGTTCATATATGACTTTTAACAAGGAAGTCTCTGGCAGGTTAGAAAAAGGGGACAGAATAGAATGTTCATATTGAGGGGTACCCAAGGTAGGGAGATTTTTACAGGTTTTGCTGTATACCCCTTACAGAATCGAATGTATACCCTTGCAAAATTTACTGTATGCCCTTGCAAAATTTACTTTACACCCTTGCAGAGAATTGACTGAAGATAAACCAACTAAGGGATGTGCCTGGTGTCTTTGTGCTCTGTGTTCATGTTTCTGGAGATGTCGCTACCCACAGATGGTAACGAGGATCAAAGTAATCCGTGCAACTGGCTTGGAAAGACAAGACAAAGTTGGAGGTATGTATATAATAAAAATATTTTATTGCCATGAATTAATGATGAACGATCACCAGTTGCATTATAGGTGTCTCTCATGTAGTATTTACAATTTATTGAACATGTTTATTTTTGAATGGCAGTGCCTTGTTTAAAGCTACTACCTTCATATGTGCAGTGCAGTATACATATTATTTTCTAGTTTGTGACACAGAGCTTATATAAATGTTTTAGACTGTTATTTAGTCATCGTCGTCGTTAGGGGGCCCAGTAACCATGACAACATCTTCATCTGGGTACATCATGTATACATTAAATGTGGAATAGGGGTGTAGGGGGTCACCATGCAAACCATAGAATCTAGGTAGCTCAACAGACAACTTGTCACCCTCTGTAAAATGGAACAAGCCGGAATTACTGGCTGACCCATGACCACTTGGACGTACTACTGCACCAAAGGTGCACAATAGCACTTCGCATTTGAACTCAGGTTCAGGGGGTATCTCATTTTCAACGATTTCTTTTGGAGGTTCCTTGATTATGGTGGACTTTCCAGTCTCTGTTTTTGTTTTTGAGTCCTTTTCTTTCCCACCATCTTTTCTTTGTTCTTTCTTTGGGGATAATTCTTGAGATTTTGCCAAAGTGTCTATCTCTGGCTCCTCTGGCTCTGTCATAAGAAAGGATTTCTTCAAGCGAATGCTTACATCTTGATTTGTGTAGCTCACCCCATTCATTTCCACGCGGTATGTACCATCTATCGGAACTGTGAAGATACCTGTTGAGACGTCATAACAATCGCCTAAGTTGACGTTCACTTTATCATAAATTACGGTCCGATCAGTATCTGCCCTAGCCATGTGACTCTGCAGCACCCCTGAGAATGCAATCTTGGGGGGTGGAATGTACACTGGGGGGAGAGGCGCGTCGTCTTCTGAAGCCTCATCGATTGACTCAGTTTTCTCTTGTTCAGTATTTTTGTTGTTATTTTTGTCATCTTTGTTTGCATCTCGATCTTTTCGTTCATTACCTGAATATTAAAACATTTTGTTATTTCAAAATGCTCAATTATATAAATATTGAATGTAGGCCGTAGCATGAAGGATGGGTTTTGGGGGTTGGAGCGAATTTTAGAATTGTAACTAAGACATCAATTCTCTGATTTTTGACAAATACATCATCTTAGATTTTACTCTGCCCATATTGCCTAAGATTTCAGTGGCTCTGTGATTTCAGTGTTTTAATAATGATCACAAAATCAATAATTTGAGACTACACTGTAATACAAGGGCCGATCAAAAAGATTTTATAATAAGAGGAGTTGGATGCTCAAACTTTTACATAAGACAGGGTAGTAAGTTTGCTTGAGACTGTCTGAGTTTCATTTAAATTGGTTCATGGGTAGTGACACAGAGTCAATACATATTTTCAATGATTGAATTAGGTGGAGCAGCGTTTTAAAAAAATGTGCTAAGCTGCAGTTTTGGAAATATTTAACACTAAGTAATGTCATCTGTCAACAGACTGTAGTTTAATCATGTTTAATTAGTTTTTCTGGTAATACTCATTCGCATTCAAAATATTCAACCCCAGTTGCAATGCACTTCCTATATCTGTCCACTCCATCCAAAAACACATGTTTAAGGCCTTCGTATGAGAGGTTTGAAACGATGTCGGTAAATTTCAAGAACCACAACTCGGCAGATATTTTATATATAACGCTGCTCCACCTAACTTTGTCATTGAAAATATGAATTGACTCTGTGTCACTACCAATAAACCAATTTATATGAAACTCATACAGTTTCAAGCAAACTACCTATCCTGTCTCATGTTAAAGTCTGAGCTTCAAACTCCTCTTATTATAAAATTGAGAGCCAACGGTAAGAAACTTTTTGATCAGCCCTTGTACATATACATCATGAGAAATAATGGCCCACCAAAAATAAACACTTTTGTGTAAATGCAAAAAAATAAGATAGGAATACATCTTACATATATATATCATACCAGTATTATGTCTATACTTACGATTACAACATAAATGTTTTTTGTACTGTACAAATACAGTTAAATCCTTACCCATGTTAACCTATTCAGTTATTCTTGCTTCTTGAGTGGGATTATATTTGTAAATCCACTCTTAGTTAGTAATCCCTCTTGTTGAACCTAATCTGCTAATGTTAATCCTATAATCTTAATCCGCGTAATCTTCTCAAAAATCTGATATATGACAATTATTTAACAAGTTAGTTACACACAGCTGTTTTATGCTTGTGGTTTTCCTTACTTGGAGATTATAAACTAACTTTCTAGCTTCTTTTATTATGTTTCGTTGTTCTTTATATTCAGTAAATTTAACACTATGAACTTCACTGTTCAGTGTTTGTTAGCTGATATTTGCCAAACTTAGAACTTTGAATAAAACTTTTCATTCTATCAAACAGTCAACTTCTAATGGACTATGATGACTGTGACGATTCCTGTAAAAAGAAAATCATCGTTGTGTTGTTTTAGAGTCTGGAATATAGTGAAAATGGATGGAATGAGCAAGGATTAAAGTGAACAGGAGTGGAGATGATATTCCATATTGAATTTAAATGTTAGAAATTGAAGTTTAATCAATATTTTGAGAGAGGAGTGTGAAAAGGCATGAGGAAAATGACATTTTCACATTGGGCCTTGTTTAATATGTATACAATCCTCTGAAAAGATTTAAGAATTGATGTAAACAGAAGCCCTTGGTGTTTTGTTAAAACTTGTATATTTTATAGGATAATATAACCCCTATGACATTAAAAATTGGGTGATACATTTTCAAAGGTTTGAGTCAAATGTTGACACAGTTGCCATAGAAACCATGTTGTTTGAATTTGTATGGTATTCAAAGCATTGGTATTTTTAGGGTAATCTTTTATAAGGTATTTTTATTGTGATGTTTACAATTTAACTTGTTCAAAAGACAGAGGAAAACTAAAAGTGTTGATATTGGTTGTTTCTATAGGAACCAAAAAGATCTTATAAAAGAAACATATCACTTAAAGTTAATGAATGATCATCCCTCGTATAAAATGTTAATATAAAACTTTAAAAATACAAATCAGATCTATTTATGTTTTGTTGATTTAGTTTGAAATTAATACTGTGGTAAAGCTGGTTACATGAATAGAACTACTAACATGTGCAAATATTATGCCATAATATAACAAAAGGAAAGAAATGCTCTATACCTTGACTTCAAGGTAACATATGGGAGAATAATATGATTATGGGATATATACCCAAGAGGTGTCACTCACCTTTATAGGTAAACAAAATACCTGTGTTCAAACATTTTCAATCCTTACAAACAATTTCTGTTAATATGATTGATACTCAATAATGAAATACATTGCATTTAAAGGTACAGACCAGTATATTTCATCAAGTGACATTTTGTATTTAAAGGTGCAGACCAGTGTGTTTCTTCAAATAAATATTGTTTCTTCAAATAATATTTTGGATATAAAGATACAGAACAATATGTTTTATCAAGTGAATTTTTTTTTAAGGTGCAGACTGGTATGTTTCATCAAATAATTATTTTTTAAAGGTGCAGGCCAACATGTTCATTCAAATAAATCTTGTATATAGACCAACATGTTCCTTTAAATAAAATTTTGTATTTAAAGATGCAGGCCATTATGTTTATTTTGTATTTAAAGGTGCAGACCAAAGTGTTACATCACATAAAATTTTGTATTTAAAGATGCAGACCAAGGTGTTACATCACATAACATTTTGTATTAAAGGTGCAGACCAATATATTTCAACATATGAAATTATTTTTAAAGGTACAGACCATCATATTTCATCATATAAGATTGTATTTAAAGGTGCAGACCCATATGCCATAGTGCACTGTGAGGGACAACAGTATTACACTCCAGTAGTTAAAGATACAACCAATCCTGAATGGGGAACATCAGTGATATTATACAGGAAGAATCCAGTGCAGAAACCCATTAAAGTAGTGGTAAGTTGTCATGTTTTTGATTACAATACTTACACGTACAGATCATAATATTTTATCGATCAATTTAACCACTTGAATCCCAGCCTTCAAAATTGGTTTGAAACCAGAGAAATTTTTCATTTTTGCCATTTTTTGACATTTTACTTACATCAGGTATCGCTCAATTCAATCAAATTAGTCGGCAGATATCATTTCTACACATTTTAAATTCCTGAAGGTGGTTTCAAAATCTCTTTTGTCCAGTTTAGATGTGTGCATCATATATCAACCTTGGCAGTACTACCACGATATTTTCTTTTCCAGATTTGGAATAGCAATGTAATAAAAGATGATTATATGGGAAAACACATATTCCTTGCCAGAGATAACAGCGAAGGGAAAGTCTTGGAGGTTGATCTCCAGGGGCCGAAGAAACAAAACAATGAGAAACGGCCTGGCAAAATGTGGGTAGAGATGTCTACCAATACTGACTTGGCGCATTTTTAATTTGCCTGCTTCACTGTATGTATATGGACTTCATTAACATGTGGCTTGCCAGTGAATTGTGTATTGTCTACGTAGCCATGGCAATAAATCTAAAGAGCGATGGAAGGGAATAGGAGGAGGGGTCTATTAGGTCAAAGAAACAATACCATGGTGAAAAGACCTGGCACAATATTGGTAGAGAAATGCACCAAAATTGATTTGGTATATTTTTTAATTCATTGACCGTGCTATATGTAATACACTTGAGAAGGGTATGTAATTGAATTTTGGGGTCTGCCAGATTTCTTTGGTATATTTTTCTGTTGTATATCTCACATCCTAAGGGGTCTTTTTAATCAATTTCCCTAAACTCAATATAAATTAGGGCAAATATGAATTATAATATCATACATAATTCTGAGGCTACATAAACATATACATTTTTGGTGTAATACCATGTCTCAATAGACCACCCCCCCCCCCCTCTTCTTCACGATGAATAGTAAATATTGAGTTCAAGCATTGGCATTTCGATTTTAAATGCAAGCTTAAACTATCTAATATTGATACAGTTAAACCTGTGTTTTGGAACACATCTCTAAATTAAACACTTCAAGATGTGATTTTATGTGGATATAGACACATTTTGTCTATCAGCATATTTTTTATATACATGTATATTTGTTAAATCAAATCATAATGTCATATGTACAATTTTACATATCTTTGTTCATTTTATATATTTTTGATCATTTTATATATACTTTTCATTTCACTCATAACTTTATTTATGTTATGTTACGAAGTGTTTGATTTACTAAGGGGAAATATGTGAAATATTTGATTTACTAAGGGAAAATATGTGAAATATTTGATTTATAAGGGAAAATATGTGAAATATTTGATTACCAAGGGAAAATGTGTGAAGGATTTGATTTACTAATGAATAATATGTAAAGGATTTGATTTACCAAAGGGAAAATATGTGAAATTTTTTGATTTATTATATTTCCCCAATCCATAGACAGGTTTTAGTGTACTATGTTGTAGACAAAGAGAGTCAGAAAATATACTACAGTGAACCCCCATCCTCCGATCACAGGGCTCCAAAATCCAGAATATATTCTTTCTTTTTTTACCCCCTGTAATAAGCAGTTCGCATTTCCTCGATTAAGAACTCGCAATCTGATTGGCTGTCCCAACACTGCGACAGAAATCATGTATAAGTCATTGCGCATAATTGGATCACGTGATTCAGTTTAATCGGGCGCTTCCAAATTGGTTATAGCAGGAGGAAGATGGAGGTACGGATTCTGGATACCTGCTTAGGAGGATGTGAAACCCAGGCAAATGGAACACCTTCAATTGAATTAGACTGTAAAAAGTTTTCCACTCATGAAAGTGTTCCACTTGAAAGCTTAACTGTAATTTACAACTTACAGTTTACAAAAATATTTAATGCATAATAAAAAAATAATGATTGTACATTGCTGGTATAGCTAAAAAGCCCATTGACTACTGAATTGATATATTCAGCATCCTATTTGATTAAAAAATCTATAACTAGGGCTATCATGGATGTAGCTAGGCATACCAAAATACAAAGAAATAACTATTCAGACTTTTTCAACGAAAACCAAAGCCCTAGGGTTGTAAATCACCTCCTTCGCCTCATTTGCCTCACCTATTTACATTTGCCCCACCAAAATGTTGACCCTGGCTGCACCACTGGCTGGCCACTGAGATTTATCAGCATAAAAATATTTTGGCATATCTTTCCTTTAAAATGGTGTCACATTAACATGCACAGTGCACATATATATTAATCATGAACAAAAACACATTAATCATGGCTCATATATATTAATTGTGAACAAAAATACATTAATCATGGATATTAATTGTGAACAAAAATACATAAATCATGGCTCATATGTATTAATCATGAACAAAAATACATTAATCATGGCTCATATATATTAATCACGAAAAAAATACATTAATCATGGCTCATATGTATTAATCATGAACAAAAATTACATTAATCATGGCTCATATGTATTAATCATGAACAAAAGTATATTAATCATGACCCAAACTAGATGTGATGTAGATATAGTATTGAGGTGGAGTCACTTGGAAATCCTGGTGAAAAGGTGCTAATTTATATGAAGCTTTCATTTTGTAGAAGGGATAAAGACTATGTATCTCATGTTTTTTTTCTAACTTGTAATACAATGAATGTAAATGTATTCATAGTTTTGGCTTATGTAGGTAGAGGTTTGATGAATCAGATTATTCTTAAGAGAATTGTTTAGAAATTGAGCCCATGGGTGTTGTTAGTTTTATTTGTGACCGTACACAAACTTAAATTCATGCACATCAACATATTATGGAAATGGGAAAAGAGATTCTAGGAGCCTATGGAACTTTGAGAAGATTTTTGATGATTCTTAGAAGTTTACAATTTAGACAAAATGCCTGTTTACTTTATTCCTTGGTATTTCCACTCATTTTTTCTTTAAAACTTTCTTAAAACTTTATTCTTTAAAACTTTCTAAAAACAGGCCCAATTTTAATGTCACCACCAGAAAGTGGTAACATATTGTTGTCTCCAAATGTTTGTGAATTGTGTTTGTTGGTCAGTGTTTGGTGTTCTGTGTTTTCTATCTTTAACAAATGGCAGGTGGTGACATTTTGCATGTTAATGCCCTGTCTTGTGTTTCTTTACAATTAAGAGCCTTTGCCTGTTCTTGCACTGATTTCAGTATTATGTCACCTCCACCAGCTTGTTATAATCTCCCACTTATTGTGGATGGCATTTGGCTGTTAGCGTATGTAACAAATAGCAGGTAGTGACATTTTGCATGTTAATGCCTTGTTCTCTATTTCTAAAACATGACTACTGTAACAGAAAAGATTAGTATGACTAATGTTATTGTATTTAAAGGTTGTTATTATAATATGTCATTTTAGAGTGTTAACACGGTTTATATAAAACCAACTTTATGTAATTAGATAAACTTGTGATATTAATTTTTTTTTTTAATCTTACTATGACTGACTGGAGAATATCAATATAATTCCCCAGAATTATTTTAAATTTGGGAATATTGAAATAACATGTATTCTTCAGGAATATTGAAATATATTGAGATTATTCTCCATGAGAGTTCCGCTCTGTTATAAATTAAGTTCTTCCAAAAATTTGGATATTTAAAACATTATGAGCACATTGTGATATTTGTAGACTTATATACCATATACTTGGGAGGCACTGGAGACTGAGGGAGAAAAATGATCTGAGAATTTCAACTTCATGCATAAAAAAATGTTTTTGAAATCCAATGATCTGAATTGTTATTCATATATTTGTATAATTATAGATCTTAGAATGTGGAGAAGTTGCTGAATATTATCAATTGGTTTACTTTTGCAGGATTTAATTTCGTGAAATTTTTCCTTTTATGAGTACATCATTACCTTGGGGTCCTTATCAGAAACTTTGTAAAGCTACAAATTCGTAAATCAATTGTTGTAACATGGATATAATGATGTCACAAGAGGTTACAATGGACTTTACAAAGTTCGATGGCCCCCTGATATTTGTTTTGGCAAAATTAAATAAATTTTATGAAAATATATTAAAATACCAAAGGATGAATTGTTCAGCATCAAATTAAAATAATTTACAGTAAGGCATTGGCTTTCAACTCTAATTGAAAGCCCATGGTATAGGCTATGGTTTGCTTTTATTAATATAAAACTGCTGGACCTTGCTTGTTATATTCATAGGTTTTACTGTCTTCATTTTTGTTAGGACTTTGTTGACTTTTATTTATTCATGGGAATCATGGCTTATTTACTTCTAAAGATAGATAGATTGATGATTAATGAACTGCAAAAGAATTGTAAAATCAACAGCTTATTTTAGTAACTACATTATCATCAGGATAAAGCACAGCTTTAGTAGGTATTTAATGCTTATGATACACATGTATGTCCAAAGTCCCACATACACCAAAAGGGCAAGAAAGGGAGCTACACGAGAACCAATATACACATATGGGACTCTGTGGGTCACGGAAGTGACTTGATTGGACTCTTTGGGGCACTGAATGACCTTGTGGGGAAAATGAATGTCCAATGGAACCCCATGGGGTATGTTGGACTTTGCAATTATGCCATGGGCTTTATTTTCCATCCATGAAGCTATTCTTTCGTGAGAATTACAAATTGATGTCCTGAACTCATGTACCAAAACACTGTTTGATTGTTTTGATAATAAAAGTAAATTATCATTCATTATATGGTCTTCAGGCAGAAAATTTGTAAGGTTGGAATTAGCCCAATGGAGGTGTTTCTGGTTAATCTCAAATATATGTTTTAATCATTTTAATCATGATACACTCCCCTTTAAAAGTATAGCAACCAAGAAATTGAATTTGAACATGATGTCCAAATGGGAGTTGGACTTGTCAAACTTTTGTGGGGGAGTGTAGATGATGTATTTTAAAGGTGACAATAATAGCACTTAATTAACAATGATTGCTTTGAATTGGTTCATAATTGTAATGAAAGAGAGAATATTTAAATAAAGTCATTATATTAATTTGATTGTATCTATTTTTATCGTACATATATTAAGTCCATTGGCAGTGTTTGAAGAGAGAATGTTCAAATAAAATTATTATATTAATTTGATTGTATCGATTTTTCTCATTAATATATCAGGTCCATAGCCAGTGAGGTTCGAAGGGAAATGGCCAATTTCTTTTAAAAATCATGCAGTTTTTCACTGTTTTGATCAGTTCAGGCCAAAGTTGTCAAATATGAGTTTGGATTTTTTTAAAACTTAACCCCCCATTGCCAAAAGCCGGCTATGGGCCTGTATTCTCAGACAGATATATGAACAACACACTTGAATGTGTTCGTAAAGTGGAGTGAAGTGAGAAGTTTTTCACGTTATTTGAAAAGAACATGAGGAAATTACACCAGCTTCTTGTGTTCAAATTACAAATTGTATATACAGACAAGACAATATATGACATATGAATGTAGACTGTTATATTTTGCTATCCATATTTAATTGTGTCTCATATATATTTAACCTCTGATGTAACTGTTGAGCTGCTGACCAGCGTAGGTTGTAATAATGTTGTCTATCCAAGCCTCATAGTAAGATACACGTGTATAAACACCAGGGTATAGGGGGTCGGCACAACCATATCCCCATGACACTATACCTACAAGTAAAAAGACACACGCGTGTATACACTAGGCTAGAGGGGGTCTGCACAACCATATCCCCATGACACTATACCTACAAGTAAAAAGACACGCATGTATACACTAGGCCAGAAGGGGTCTGCACAACCATATCCCCATGACACTATACCTACAAGTAAAAAGACACACGTGTGTATACACTAGGCTAGAGGGGGTCTGCACAACCATATCCCCATGACACTATACCTACAAGTAAAAAGACACACGTGTGTATACACTAGTCTAGAGGGGGTCTGCACAACCATATCCCCATGACACTTTACCTACAAGTAAAATATACAAGTACAAAGACAGGCATGTGTATACCTTGGGGTAGAAGGGGTCTGCACAACCATATCCCCATGACACTATACCTACAAGTAAAAAAACACGTGTGTATACATTAATAGTCTAGAGGGGGTCTGCACAACCATATCCCCATGACACTTTACCTACAAGTAAAAAGACACACATGTGTATACATTAGTCTAGAAGGGGTCTGCATAACCATATCCCCATGACACTATACCTACAAGTAAAAAGACACACGTGTGTATACACTAGGCTAGAGGGGGTCTGCACAACCATATCAACACGACACTATACCTTCAAGTAAAATATACACATGTGTTTACACTGTATCACCCATGCTACATCGAGGTAGAGGGGTCCCTCATAACCCACCGACATCCGACACCGTACATCAAGCACAAATGCACGTCGGACTAAAATCAGTTGCAGTTAGATCTAATATGAACAAAATCATTGCCAGTTCTGTGACAAAAATATTAAACTCGTCTTTCTTTCTTTTTAACATATTAATTATTTCCTTCATAATCACAAAAATACACAAAATATCTACTACCAATCGCCATTGGTATTCATTGGTATTCTTTCTTCCTCGGCCTAGAAACTACGTATAATCATATTGTGCCCCTACACTCGGAAGACGGAAAAATAAAAAAATAAAATGGTCTATAGAAATGTGGCAGTAGTCTATCTATTCAAAAGTTAAGACCATTACTGCCATCTTCATATTACCTGCACCCTCGTAAAGTTGTGTGTTAGGGTTCCAAACGCTAAGGGGTCCCCCGCTGTCTCCCTGAAAGCAAAAATATGACAATATGTGATATCCCTAATGCCGACAACGTATTTTTCAAAACACTAACGGACAGGGGGCGCTTATATTTTATTCTATGAAAACATTGAGATGGTGTGATCTTCAATTAATTTTTGATCCTAACTTAGCCACTATCAATTATAACTTCGATCACCTCGATTTTTGCACCAAGCGTGCATTAGCAGGGTTATACATTGTAATATGCATAGAGGAGAATGGATTTTATATGTCTATATATGCCATTTGCTTGTATGAGCGAGAGTATTCATCTTTGCGAGACTTTGTCACATGGAATCCCCCTCCGATTCTCATCTAGCCAAACAAAATATAATCCCCATGCAAAGAATGAACACGTCTTTCATTTTCTTTACGTTGCGGGGCTCCTTTGGACCGTTTGGACTAAATACAATCTACTATACCTTGCATTTGGTGTTCATGAGCAACCCATTTGGCTTATTAGTAATGATTATGTATTTGTTTTTATTTTTCTGTTCCGTATTAACCTCTTGAATCCCAGGCTCTAAAATTGGCATGAAACCAGAGAATTTTTCATTTTTTGCCACCTTTTGACATTTTATTACATACCTATACAACTTTAGATGCTCAGCTTAGTAAAATTGGACGGCAGAGAACATTTATACACGTTTTAAAACAATTTTTGTGTAAATTGGATGAAAATTGTTCAAATGAGAGCAATTTTTGTGAAAAATTTTGTGACGGATTTTCTCGTCCCTCTGGGCACCAGTCTTATTTCATTTGTGACGGATATATCCGTCACTCTGGGTATTAAAGATTGGTTTAAAGTCAGTGACTTTTTGTTTCAGCTCTTCTTGGCAGATAAAGAAATTAGTAAATTAAAGCAGTTCCCAACTAAAAGGTCAATGGGGATCACAAGGATAACATTGGGTGGACCTTATGTTTACCTACCTGGCACGAGTCTTTACCATCCCTGGCTGCACACATATTATAATCAAATATGTCCTCGTTAGGGTAGGCGCTGTCACAGGCGGCGTTCGTTATGATGTCAAGGTTGGCGTACAGCAGAATGTTTGAGATAGACCCACCTAAAATAGTTTAAAGTATGGTCACATCACATCAATAAAAATTCAGAAAATTCTCTGAAAATAGGAATTTTGAATTAATTATTTTGGATTTGGGAATAAACTGAACACCTTAATCACTGGTCAGTGTTAGGGGACGGTAACGTTCGATAGTACGTTCTTTTTCAAAATGGCGGAGGGAAACTGTCGATTATACATTTTTAGTTTTCATCGAATGAAATAATTTTGCCTTCGGGCTACTTGGATATTCGGCTTTGAAATTTCGACCACACCAGCCTAAGAGAGAATGATATGGAAACTCCATATCATGAAAAATAGGACCGTTTCAAGTAAGGAGCACATGAAGTATTTTTACAAAGTTGTGATTTGTAGATTTTGTGTATGTTCTAAGTTGGGTTATGCCCTTCCGTACCATATGTTTCACTCGAGAATTTTCAAATTATTTGTAGAATTTGGTTTGGTACCTACCTGCTGATGTAGTACCCCAACCACTAACAGTCCCCACCTGGCCTGCGTATGTGTTAGAGGCTGAGGGCTTACAAACTGGTCTACAAATGAAATATGACAGTGTTATACAAGGCCTATATACAAAATGTCACCACCTGCCATTTGTTACAGACACCGACCGCCGAACACCGTCGACATAAAAATCGGTGACTATAACAATATAATAACAACTTTTGGTGGTGACTTAAAAACGCAAACCATGAACTGGATCATATTATTAGATTTGAACCAGAGACCGCTATTCTTCATTTACTATTTTGGACGAATAATTATATACTTGTCGGATATGTCAAAAGATCTAGACTTGAATGGAATTTAAATTTTGCAAATATATTCAACGGCAATAAGAGTTTCCGTCGATATTCTTAATTAATTAATGATTCTTAAGTAATCAATATTTAATACCATTTGGGCAACTGAACACTAGAATGCATTGTACTTTTACAAAAAATAGAAAACAAACATTAAAATGCTGATCTCTTAAGATATAACAAACAATTATAAAATCAAACCTGATTGTATCAGAGAAACTAGGTATAGCGCCTGCTGGTAGTTGAACTAACATGATGTCATTCAAGATGTTGAAATCGTCATAAAGCTCGTGCATGACGCCACCTAGCGGCACTATCTCCAGAGCCCCTGTGGCATCTGTTCTGTCGTGCAATCCTAGAGAAACCAAATAGTCCGTGGCTCTGTCTCCCTTAAATTAAATAATGTACCCTGCGTGCAGAGTTTAGTTATAAACGACGAAGCTTTCTTTTAGAGGCGAAGTCAAACGAATGCAAAGGGTATAAATTATGTGGATTCAACCAAATTATCTTCTCACACATGTGAGAGCAAAGCGAGCTCTCGATCTCTCTGTGTTTGGAAAAGCCAAGAAGCTTTGATTTAAGAAATCAAGTGAGGTTTTATATAACATTATTTTAGGCATTGAGTTCCCAATGGAAAATTGGGATGTCTTCAATGCAGGAATGTCTCAATTATGTACCAAAGAAGATTTTTTGGCTGATGTATCAATGTATCCTTTGCTATTTTGGGTCTTTTTGCTCATATGTACATGTATAATTCATGAGAATGTAATTGTTTAATTAGCATAAGGTATAGTGTAAGATTGTTTTAATTGTCAAACTATTCTTCAGTATTGTAGGCTAAATAAATAAATAAATACATGTAGTGCGACGTATACTTATATATTTTTATGGATGATATGACGTATCATTATATATTATGATGAATAATATAAGGTATACTTATATAAGCATCAATACTATGACGCGTGTTTATCTTATTTTAATATTGGCATATAATTGCTGAATACAGTGGCAAAAGTATACATTAACATAAACAAAATACACTCATGTTAACATATGACAGTATCGAAGTGTAAACGTATGTTGGCAGTAAAACTATGACGTACACTTATATATAAGCATTAATAATATGACGTATATTTACAATGGCATCAACATATGACGATTACTAATATATTGGCGATATGACGTACCAAAGTTACTTTGGCATATGCGTGTATATCATGACGTAAAACTTTCTTTGGCACAAACAATATGACGTTTACTTTTATATTGATGACATGACATATCAACGTTATATTGGCACTTTGACGTGTATTTATATATTGGCATTAACACTATGACGTATACTTATATTTTGGCATTAACGCTATGACTTATACTTATATATTGGCATTAACGCTATGACATATACTTATATATTGGCATTAACGCTATGACGTTTACTTATATATTGGCATTAACACTATGACGTATACTTATATATTAGCATTAACACTATGACGTATACTTATATATGGCATTAACCCTATTACGTATACTTATATATTGGAATTAATGCTATGACGTATACTTTTATATTGGCATTAACACTATGACGTATACTTATATACTGGCATTAACACTATGACGTTTACTTATATATTGGCATTAACACTCTGACATATAATTATATATTGGCATTAACAATATGATGTATACTTATGTATTGGCATTAACGCTATGACGTATACTTTTATATTGGCATTAACACTATGACGTATACTTATATATTGGCATTAACACTCTGACATATACTTATATATTGGCATTAACACTATGACGTATACCTATATATTGACATTAACGTTATGACGTATACTTATATATTGGCATTAACACTATGACGTATACTTATATATTAGCATTAACATAATGACGTATACTTATATATTGGCATTAACACTATGACGTAAACCTATATATTGGCATTAACACTATGACGTATACCTATATATTGGCATTAACGTTATGACGTATACTTATATATTGGCATTAACACTATGACGTATACTTATATATTAGCATTAACATAATGACGTATACTTATATATTGGCATTAACGCTATGACGTACACTTATATATCGTCATTAACACCATGAAGTATACTTATATGTTGGCATTAACGCTATGACGTATACTTATATATTGGCATTAACGCTATGACGTATACTTATATATTGGCATTAACGCTATGACGTATACTTATATATTGGCATTAACGCTATGACGTTTACTTATATATTGACATTAACGCTATGACGTATACTTGTATATTAGCATTAACACTATGATCATATTGGCATTAACACTATGACGTATACTTATTTATTGGCATTAACACTATGACGTATACTTATATATTGCCATTAACACTATTACGTATACTTATATACTGGCATTAACACTATGACGTATACTTATATATTGGCATTGACACTATGACGTATACTTATATATTGGCATTAACACTATGACGTATACTTATATATTGGCATTAACACTATTACGTATACTTATATACTGGCATTAACACTGTGACGTATACTTATATATTGGCATTGACACTATGACGTATACTTATATATTGGCATTAACGTTATGACGTTTACTTATATATTGGCATTAACACTATGACGTATACTTATGCAACTCGTACGTTGGCATTATTGATGCAATGTGCAGCTGTCAAGACCCATTCTGAATTGATGAGGAATCCTCCACACAAGGTTCCTTTCTTTGTGTTTAGGAACTCAGCCTGGAATAACATGGGTATTGAATTGGTGGGTTTTTATTATTACAATGGAGACAGCACTAAACGGGTGTATACTCCTTATGTTCTTTATTTAAGGTAGCCTGGGTTTGTGTGGCTGTGAGTCCAAGTGAAATCTGTCATCGTAATACAAGATGACGGACAGTGAATGCCGATTTTCAGTTTCCATCGAATAAAAATAATTTGTCGTGGACATTCGGTTTTAAAATTTCTACCATTTCAAGCTTGTAACATTCCTAGTTTTTCATAACTGAAAATGATTTCGTTTCCACCATGGGCTTTCAATTAGATCTAGTCGAATGCCCGTGTTTCCACTCTATCGCGATCCAGAACCATTCATTATTCTCCATTAAACCATTTAATTGAAAATATATGATGTCCACCCGCTGAGCTGAATGGAACATATCGGAGATGATGTACGCATCTAGAGAGTAACATTCTGACTAAATGCGTCTGGAGAATGATTCATTACCTGCCAAGGGAACTCTCCTGGTCGAGCAGGCACGCCTCCAACTATTTGGAGAGTGTGATCTGTATCGTTGTAGATGCTATATCCACAGTCCGCTGGAATATTAGATCCATATTACAGATTAAACTGTATAATCTGAGAAAACAGTTTAAACACATGGACAACATTTAGGTATACTTCTTTTATCACCATGTATTGGCACAATCTTGGGAAAAACACGTATTTTCAAATTCATTTCATGATTTTCTTTGAGTTTGATAACGATAGATGGAATTTCTATAAAAACACAGACGTTTTTGGCCCACCCTACATGACTGATGTAGTCCATGTGGGTAAGGTTAGAATTGTCAACTTACATGACCATTGGACGGCGGGTGTTCTACCTAAAAAATAAAAAGTTGAACCAAAATTATACTTTCAAATAACCATAGTAGAAAAACTTGTAAACATCAAAACGTACTCGATATAAATCGAAAGTTTCATTATCTATAGCTTTCATCCTAAATAAGCCTTAAATTCTAAACCCATAATAATATGTAAGTTATGCAATCGACAGACTTGGATACATTTTTCTGTAATTGTCAGTTTGATTTAATCGTCCATGTAGAAAATGAATTTCCCTTTAAACCGGCAATATGCCTATTTTTGGAGAAAAAAAGGATAAAATATTATTTGAGACATGTCACTCACACACTTAATAAAATATGATAAAATCTTAAATTTGGGATAATACTGAAGTGAAAAAGAAATTACTCGCATAGAAAACAGCATTTGAAGTTCAGAGATCGAAAAAAGTGAATTACCACTTTTCACAGTGTATGTTTTAAATAACTCTTGGATAAAAAGATGGCGTATGGTTGAAAATTCTATCAAAAATTAATGGATAATGTCATGCAAAAACGTCGCCATCTTTCATTGGCATCGCTAAAAACTTGACATATATAAATTGATAGATTGAAAATATTTTTTGATAATCTAGTGTCAACTCTGATGTGGTCTGTTTGAGGTGTTTTTGGTGTCAAATGAAAGATCAGGTACTTATCAATCCAGTGGAAATGCTATGAAGATCAAAACTTCATTTTGTGGATAATACGCATTTAATTCTTTAAAAAATGCCAATTAATTCTAGTTATGATCTTTTCAAAAAACCTTCCCGTCTAAGCTTATTGATTGAGTGAGTTATTTATCATCATAAACTAAAAGCATGAATGATGAGAAATAAGTAACGGCTGTTAGCCTTTTAAATCCCGTAATTGGATAATCAAAACTGTATTCGCCATAAACCTGCATGAAGAAGATGAGGAAAACGTAAATTTCGAATTTAACTCCTCGTCCAAGACTTACCCGGTGCCGCTAAAGCAAAAGCCACTAGACAACTTATAACGACAAGTCTTAACATCGTGGTACGAGATGCAGAGTTTGAACTATTGTAACCACTGCAAAGTAACATGATTGTAATTATACTTTTTGTGACCTCGAATTCAAGTATTTCCAAATGTTGAAATACATAACGTACAAGGCTGTACCGTGAGTCGTACATGCAACACGTCTATGGGACTTTTATTTAATTTGACACACAAAATCAGATGTAATATTTAGAGGGTCACGACCGACCACTTTCGACCAAAATTGATTATTTAATAAAATACAACATATGCCTTGGAGCTGTGGACCACTCCTGTATGCCGTCATCCTAGTTTATGCTTACACTCTGTGAAGAAAATAGGTACACGGTCATTTTTCAATTTTCAATATTTTGTTTAGTCACTCATCTCTTTATAGAGGTATCTTTTGCAACTATTGTGAATAGGTGGAAATCTTAAGAAATTCGATTCTAGTTGACAATGGTTAAAAACATGGTACTATTACCCGTTGCATTCGTTTGACTTCAATTCACTTCTTAAAAGAGAGCTTCGTCTTCTGTACTCGTCTTCTGTAGTTTAACTAGACTCTGCACGCAGGGTAGGTACTATGGTATGTCTTCATGAATTGAAAATTGAAGGTTGCTTATAAAGACAAATTACTAGTACCCCTCATTTGACACCCGATGAGGTTTATTTGCTCCCTTTATCATTGATATAAACCAAGATAACGATGTTATGTCTTGCTTCAAGTCTAATGAGCCCCCTCCCCTCATCTAACTCTGTGGGGAGACGTGTAGGGGGGGGGGGGTCACACGGGTATGTACTTGTAGCTAGACTTTAAAGATGGAGTATTCTTTATAAACCTGATGTTTAGAAAACCTATAATGCACACAATGTCCAAATTGATTCATGGAAGAAATTGATATGACGTTTTTTAATAGAGAATGGGGTCCCTCAAAGAAGAGAAATGGAGTTCAAAAGATTTCTTGATTCAAACACATTAAAGATTCGATATGTTAAGGAGGAAACTATAAAATATCTAAATGAACGTGTATCTAAGTCGTAGATCCTAGACTATATTTAGTAAATAACTGCTTTATGCATTGGACACTCTATTTATTTATACAAAGGTCTATAAGATCCCATCACATACATGTATAATAAAATGGCTTGCACGTTTTCAACATTCTTTATATAAAGATTTGGAAAATTTAATTATTCTTAGACGTATCCAAATTAATAACACCATGTTTAGTTAGATCATTACTAGTATAGTATACATGTTGTCTGGGATAGCGACTGAACAGAAATGAATAAACAAGATCCATGATTTGATTTACTTAATTTTTAAAGTTTATTTACGATTTCCCGTTGTTACAGTCTAATACCATCGTCAGACTGCGTCTGACGGGAGTACATGTAGTTTAGATTTTCAGCGATCGGTTTTTTCTGAATGGATTATTCCTATTAAAGTCATTTATGTTGAAATTAGTTATGTCTGTTTGCAGTTGTATACCAGTATATTTGATTGTCGTCTGCCTAATCGCAGGTTTGTTAATTGTCAAGTCAATGGCGGTGGCTGTTTTTAATGCGGGTGGCATACTTTCGTCCCTTTTCCTTGATTCATTCCTTTGTTCATCAGTCCGATTGATAGAGTGCTCCAGTCCGCTTTCTACCCAACGTTCATTACAATGCTGTTGCCTTTTACAAAGTTGTAACGTTCTGTCACCGTCATCTCCAGTTGAATGAACGGATGATTGGGATTGCGAGTCATTTTCTTGAGTAACTTGGGTGACAGCATATGGCATTGCACTTTGTGCGTGACTCTTATCGATCATAATCCCGGTATCTGGATATTTGCCATGAACAGGTGACGATTGTCTTTTCGAGATAACATCCGCATAACTAGCAATAGCATGAAGGAGTTGCACATTGTCACTGATCTCCCTGGCTTTGGCGCCAATGAATTCCAGCACACCCGGCGCTTCAACTGGATGGCATGAAGTGATCGCATCCTGTTTCTCTGCAGGTATTGGTGGTTCGTCCAGTGCAATAAGTTGCCTCGTCAAGACAAGATCAATATCCATCAGTGAGTTCTTAAAAACAAAAACAATTGAATTTTAGGTTCAACATTAAGTAAAAAGCATTTTAATAACACAATTGTAGGAAATAACACACCCCAGGCTACATTTAATAACGAGGCATTAACATGCAGAATGTCACCACCTGCCATTTATTACATACACCAAACGCAAGCCACAGAAAAACGTCCGCAAAAAGAAACAATAACATTATTTAACCAATTCTGGTGGTGTCGTGACATAACTACCCTAAGAACCAAGAGTGATAACATGAAATCGATACTCAGACGAAAAACGTCGAGAATCATTTTAAACTATAGTCTAATAAACGGTAATTAGTGTCATGCAATAGACCAGAAATCGTGATAAACCCTTGACGATAAACTAGCCATTTCAAACAGTCTCAATGATACATCAATACACATTCTTCCTTTTCAAGTCAACAGAAGCTGCGATGATTTAATAATCAATTTAATAATAGGACCCTGCGTATATATAAGGGTTGTGTACTGGGAGGTTTTGGATATAGGGTATAGCCTATCCTGAGAGATATATTCATATCTCCCCGAGGGACCAAAGGGACCAAGGGTAGATATGAGTATTTTCCGAGGGATATACCCTATATCCCAAACTGACCGTACATAACTGGTGTATCTCATACTTGACTGGGTTTGGGGTAGATATAACCTTTTCCACCTTTTTTAAATGACAAGATAGGCCTATAGTAAAAGCACAATTTATTCATAACATTTTCGTAATATTCCTTTAGTTGAATACAATGAAATTGTAACATTTAAACTTTTTTTAAACTTTTGAGACTTAAAAATTAAAACTTTTAATTTTTTTGATTTTTTTTATTCCATTTGGCCTGGAGCGGGACATATATAATATGTCCTGCCCGCTCCTCAGATATGATATATATTCCCGGGTGATATCTACCCAAAACCCACTCAAGTATGAGATACATAGAGATTATCCTATATGAGGTTCAGGATATTGGGATTATCCCGAGGCAAATATGATATATTTGCCCGAGGGCCGCAGGTCCCGAGGGAAAATATATTATATTGGCCAAGGGATAATCCTAATATCCTGAACCGACTATAGGATAATATGTTAATCCCATACCAATCTTGGTCATCTGGTTCACATTGTTCAATCGTGGAAATATTCTAGAATATTCATGTCCAGTTTTGTTTTCTTGGCCGTGGGCGGATTTTTCCGTTCTTTTAAATATTCCCACATTTATGTTCTCGAATTTTTTAAGTGGATGCTCCTTCCATTTTTTAAACCATCAAACAGATCCTGATTGTCTGTGTTATTTCATTGTCGTTTACAGTCATTACGCGAACGTTACAAATTATGAACAAATATGCGAGCGGCGATCATGACGTAGCGGGCAGATATACTATATCTGCCCGCTCGGAGCGGGACGTAAAGCTATATCTGCCCGCTGATGAAAATATAAGTTTTTACAAACCGGCTTTATGTACCTGTAACACGTCCAAGTATGGGATAAACCGAAATATCTCACTGGTTAATATTAGGAATTCATCCTTTGATTTGTCACTAACTTACCATTTCATTATTCAACTGGTGTAGTTTAAGTAATTTCTCGCGTGAATTTAATTTCTGTTGTAGCAGCACTGTCCCGTATTCTGTCTTCCGTTGTTTGTAAAACTCTCGGCATAAATTGGACAACTTTATCATGGAGATATATCGCCGTCTCTCTCTGTTTTTCATTTTTCAACTAGCGGGATAGTAAATCTTCTTGATCTTTCCCTCGGTGCTATCTCAAAGATTGATCCCATTTTAAGTCGTTACTCTGTTATGTTTTATACCCACTGGACGTACCCGTTGACCTCCACACCGTGGGAGATTTGTTCAACCAATGAGAGTAGTAGGATCTCATTGGGAGGTTTAACTGATTCATTTTGACGAAAATACTACGTAGTATATACGCTTGTTTTGGAAAGTGGTCCAAAATCAGATCGATCGTGTAAATATTTATAATTGACCTTTTCAAGTGCCTAGTCAGAACGGTTCAAATAGTTAACTAAATATGATGACCAAAAACAGGAAAACCTGTGAACAGTGAACACTTATGGAACAACAAAAATGTGTTCACTGCAGAGAGGCGATTTTATGCAGAAGTCAGTGGAGTATGTGCTGAGAAGAGGTGTTCACTAGGCACAGGTGTTCACTAAAGAGAGGTGTTCACTAAGACAGGTGTTATTGCATAAAAAAGTAGTAGTCGTTCAAAAAGTATTATAACATAATTATATAATTACATGTTCACTGCCGTTGCATTATGCACATCTTTTCTGAGTTACCGTTTCCAATATGAACATTCACCATTGACACTATCCTAAAACTGTAATTTTTGACTATATGTAGACTTGTCTTGTTGGGGCATAATCCCATTTGGTATTGATGATATAAAAACCCTACTCCCTTTTACTTAGGACACTCGTAACGCAATTCTGAAAAGTGCTGGTTTATGCAAAAATCACCATGCGCTAATTTTAATTGATTCCATTAAAACGCATTCGCCTGAATCCATATACAAAAACTACTTGTCCTATCGTGAATTACTGTTCATAATATTTGCGTTTCGTCTTTACAAATACCTTAAGTAGGAAAAGAAACATAGTACACTGATCGGAAGTGCACGAGGATTTATATATCAAAGTGTATTGGTAGTGCCAATAACAAATGCTGAATAATAGGAAACAGACGACTGTACAATGCAAAATGCTAACACTTTCTTGAAAAATTCAATCGTGCGAATATCCAAGGGATTGGAAACCTGGGAACACCCCTCGATGTACTTTCCCAAGGGGATAGAAACCTGGAAACGCCCCTGGTTGTACTTCTCCAAGGGACTGGAAACCTTTGTCCTGGGAACACCCCTGGATATACTTTCCCAAGAGGATAGAAACCTGGAAACGCCCCTGGGTGTACTTCTTCAAGGGGTTGGAAGACTTTGTCCTGGGAACACCCCTGAATGTACTTCAACAAGGGGATGGAAACCTGGAAACGCCCCTGGGTGTACTTCTCCAAGGGGCTGGAAAACTTTGTCCTGGGAACATCCCTGGATGTACTTTCCCAAGGGAATAGAAACCTGGAAACGCCCCTGGGTGTACTTCTCCAAGGGGCTGGAAACCTGCCAAGTGACAACACCCTTGGATGTATGACTCCAATGGACCGAAGATCAATTTTAAGAGAAAATGAAGGTTGATACTCCGTACATTGAAATCATCAAACACGTCTTTATTTGAAAACTATAAACAGTTTAACATTGTACATATTGAGTTTAACTCTCGAATCCCTCAGTGTTGTGTTTGATCCATGGGAGGAAGCTGGTCACTCGGGAGTAGACACTGGGGAAGTTAGGGGTGTCACAGCCCTGCATTGCCCAAGTTGATACGCCAGCAAGTACCCATTGGGATCCTCTTCGACACACAAGAGGTCCGCCAGAATCACCCTGGAAAAGAAAAGTTTTTCAAAATATGATCCAATAATAACTGACTGAATTCAAACATTTACAAACTTTTCATCATCAAGCGTATAACCTAAAGTAGCTGGCACATTAGCCATGCATCCATGCCATCCCCGCCGTCTGGCCCAAAGTGTTCACACGGTGGCGAACGGTGAGCCCACACGGCCTTAATGTCACAACTCCATTACCAAAATTGCTATGAGGAGTTGTATCAAACATCCTAATCATTTATACATCTTAAGGAAATATCTCTTACCGCACACGATCCTTTCAAGCCATCACCAACGCAAATATGGAAGTCGTAGATTCGTGGTCCGGTACGGGGATACTTTGCCCACATGTCGGAGCAAGCTGCATTGGGTACAACGTTTACTCGCACTTGGTTTAGTACATTGTCATCACCAGTACCTAAATATCAATTAAATATTCATGAGCACATGCTTTGAGGATCCGCGTTGTTTGAACCTACCGCCGAGCACACTTATACATTAAGACCCGTTACACAGTCATGATACCGCCGAGCAAGCTCATTGCATCATCGGGTCTGCTTTACCCCCGTGCTCATGTCACGATATAAATAGCCACTAATTGATTCGTATTAGTTTTTATTTAGTAAAACCTGGAAAAGATTTTTCATTTATTAATCGAGTACTCGAAGACCCGTTTTGCTCAAACGGAACAAAGAAAAATATGTGGCCTGGAATAATTAGAATTGAACTTTCACATAAATGCATGAAGATTGCAAAAAGAACATTTGCCCTATCTCTCGCGTCATGAAAAATCATGGATTTCTATATATTAGTTACTTTCTAGTTGATCAATGAAAACAAAATATGTAGATATTTGTATTTCCCTCGGGATATACCCTGTATCAAAAACCTCCCATTAAATAACCCGCATGTACCTCTCGTGTCTCCCCATCCAGTAAGGTAGCACTCATCTTGCTCTGTGAAAACCTCGCCTGGTTTTGGGAGACATACGGGCTGAATGTATCGGTTAAGGGGTACAGGGCGGTCAAGTTCCAGCAGAGCTATATCATATGGGAATCCTGGCCCATCCTTTTCATAACGGTGGTGCTATAAACATGAAGTGTAATCGTAACAATGAATGGAAATATCAGATAGTTCTTTATGACCTCCTGGTTTGATTCCAGTGACGAGGATGACGAAGTAATATTCAAGAAACAACCAACAACTCGTGAAAATATATTGAATTGCCAAAGTGACGGAAAACATTATTATGATCCATTGTTCAAACAGTTAAAATCCTCAGAAAATGCGGAAATACTCAGCATTGATCAGTGGCTGACAGTGTTTTATAGTGTGAGTCTTTTGCCGTCTAGATTACTAATTAGATTTTTGGATATTTGAAGCTAAAAAGGTCAAAGGGTATTTTTTCAAATTGACTTTCTTTAAAAAATCATCTACAAACTGATCTCGGTTTAATGAGACATTTAACCCCTGGATTGATATTCCGTGATCTTAGACAGGTCAGAAAATCGATTTTGACCTAATTTTGAATCCAAATGCTATTATTTTGATTAGGTCAAATAGGTCACAAAAGACAGAATGATGGTGAAAACATATACTTACTGGTATCATAAACTTTAGGCGAGCAGAATATGCATTTTCGTTGAGGTTTTCTGTGTACTGATAATGTGCCCCTAACAGAACACGATACGTATGAATTTTGTCATAAATTCTGAAATACAGCAAACAATGCAGAAGTAAGGTAAGATAATGATGATAGACAAGGAGGATTGCCTCCCAGGGTTCAAACTTGATATTGACCTTGACCTTGATTGATCGATCTGATATTATAACTGACCAGATCTCCATAATCAGCAACCTAAAAGATTTAACTTAATATCTTGAACTCGTGTGTTTTGAATCATTTTGTTTGGAAATGAGACTAAATCTCGTGTTTGAAACTCTGAAGTGAAAACTGGCGGCTGATAAATTTTAATTTTGTAATCCCGACATGTCCTTATGATAATAAGGTCGGAGTCATGACGCCATATATGGCAGAAATTCGAGATGGTTTATAAACATATATCTACATGTATTGTTGCTACAATGATTAATATTGTCGTTTACTTCCAACTTTCGATGGCCAAAAATCAGGATCCATTTGAATATGCCGAATGTCTAAACAATCATACAGATATAAGGGGAGGCATCAAACGTTCGATGTCTGATAGGAAACTAAATAAACTAGTTTTGAATTTGATCCCGCTCCAAAAACTATTAAATACCTTGAAAGTTGATCGCGTAGGCCTACATTGGACTTAGGCATAGTATTTTATGTCGCATGTCTCTTGACGAAGAAAGCACCAGTTAAAATCGTTCTTGTTAAACTACATCAAGGCATTCCGCGTTGGACTCTCAAAAAAACTGAAATGTTGAAATTTGTTGAATAGCAAACTGAAATCCCTTTGATCCCCTCCCCTAACTAGATTTATTTAGATTTCTATCATACATTGAACTTTTGATGCCTTCCCCAATATGTTGCTTAAAAGGTCAACGGGAAGTCCGATTTCAATTCTGATTGGAGATTCGGAAACATACTTTATGAATACTTTGGTCAAAAATCCAAATCCCTCAGACTACTAGGAGAGAGAAGAGTTGCCTCAATATCCGTTTGAGTAAGGGGAGTTACATTTTGAACATCTGGTGTACGTCGTTCATATTCACGAACTGGTGTACATGCTCACGAATTAATATAATGCGACCTTGAGTACGTCATTTATACTCACGAATATACAATGAATCCTGGTTTCGTCGTTTATACTTACGAATTAATACAATAGTACTCACGAAACAATACAATGAGCAGCGGTCAATACCCATCTGTCTGAAATCAAGACTGCTCCACAGTTGTGGGTTGCTCCATTTGACAATCTTAGGGAACCCTGCCATGGCCAAGAACCTGGTGTAGATTCTCTACCTTGTGTGATATAGCTTCGGATGTCAACGCTGGATTTACCACAGCCTGAAAAAAAGTTGTTACCAGTGACCTTTTGACATAAATTAAAATTAAATTGTTACTGTTTTGTTCAACCTGGTAGCAATCGACGCTCGACGGGGTTGGTATTTGATTAACACTAAATTTAAATAAACTGAACCGTAAACAACATTTTAAATTCTCTGGTTTGGAGACAAAATTCTACGACATACTTCCTAATGGAGTTGTCGTTGATCCAGGCCCTTGGGTTGGTCTAGGTGAAGAACCAGATGGTCTTGTAGTTGTAGTTGCTGCACTGGGAGTGGCAGTTGTAGCTGGATTTCTTGTTTTGCAGCACTGTATTCCCCAATATCCACCACATGTAAGACTGGAGTCAAATTGCCCATCGCACGTCTCTATATTTTTGTCTTTACAAACATATCCTTCTTGTTCGCAATCTGTCGAAAAGGCATTATTTTAAATTGATATTCACCTCATATAATATGATTATATAGTAGATAAATAATTGTCGTATATATTTTTTGCTGGTACCTCGGCCTTTATTGTGTCTGACGCGAGGCAAAGAAATCACCCACGTGTTGATAAGTATCGTGTATTGCCAATCTGCTTGACTTGAATCTGCTTTTTTGAGCTGTTTCTTTCGAAACCATATGTTAACACGATTTAAAATAAAATTTTAACATTAATAGTAAACGTTTTGGTTCATATCGACTTACCTAATCCATAAGCAACTGTAACCAATATTCCAAAGAGCGCACCTAGAAATGCAACTCCCTTCATGTTGAACGATGAGAATTAACTGAACAATGAATTATTGAAGATGGCGATAGGGCTTGCTGATAGCTATCTAACAACTTTATCTTGTACCCTACATATTACATCATTGATATGTTTATCCTTATCGCTTATCATGACATGGGCTCGGATCGTGTTGCTGACAAGTCGATCAAAAGGGACGCAAATGCATAATGAGGGCTCAGGCCCGTAGCTACCCTGCGTGCAGAGTCTAGTTAAACTACGAAGACGAAGCTCTCTTTTAAGAAGTGAAGTCAAACGAATGCAAAGGGTAGCCCGCAGCAAGTTCTCCAAGGGGGTTAACTTTTCGAAGAATAACAGGAATTTCAGATTTGCCCAACACATCTTGAAAAGTGCTCAGTAAGGCGAAAACAGCATGATTTTAAAAGAATTTATGGAATAAATATAACAAAATTGAATACTAGTATACAGTACAACAGTTCCAGACTTTCCATTCCCTTTGAAAAGCCTGTAATCTTAATTTGTTCCTCGCCGAATGTTTTATATTTCGTTATTATGTGTGTTTGTTCTTGTCGGACTTTTCAAAAAGAGGATCTCGTCTCCCATTATATTTATTGTACAAAGAGATTATAATACAATGTAGTTATTCACCAGGAGGGATTTGAAATGGGGAATATCACAAGGATGATATCAATATTTTCCGAGGGAACGCAGTGATATCTATGACCTAAATAGAATACCTGCAGACCAAGAAAGACAGAATGATATACATATGTTATGATAAACAATTGTTCACAAAAAATTCTCAAACTTTGACAATATTTATTTAATTCAAATAATACTTGACAAATTGTGCAGTGGTGTTATGTTTTCTACATGTAGTTCTATCAAACCGACATCTTTAATTTATAACTTATATGTAGATTGAAAATGTCAAAACTGGCAGGAATGCTCTGGTGTGAAGACTTTAAAAGCCTGCTATTCGAAAAATGTTAATACGACACAAGAAATGTAAATACGACACAAAATGTGTAAATGGTGAGTTATAGATTAGCGTTAATAACCCATTTACCTATACCTATACGTAGTTTGTTATTACACTAAGCGGTATTTTACCTAAGTTACAGGGTTTGCGATACGTAATTACCTGTAAAAGGTAATTCGAAAACGTATGTTTTTATCCAACAAATTATGTCATTTCTAGATCAAATATAATTAATCAAACTGTAAAATAGTAACAACAAACATTTCTCATTCGATCTGCATAGAGCCATGAGATAATGCATGAAATTGTTGAATTTACACATTCGTCATCAGTTTTGCTTATTGAAAATATATGAAATCAGCCATTTTTTCGTGGTTTTAATTGTTAAACTTTATTATTTGATCACTCTCATTGCTGGATCATGCTAGAAATTTAACATTTCGCCTTAAGTCACATGCCCCATTAGCGGGCCCACAAGCAACGCCCCCTCCCAACTACAGTAGCTACACCACTCTCTCTCTGAAGTATATAGAGATTATCCTATATGAGGTTCAGGATATTGGGATTATCCCGAGGCAAATATAATATATCTGCCCGAGGGCCGCAGGTCCCGAGAGAAAATATATTATATTGGCCAAGGGATAATCCCAATATCCTGAACCGACTATAGGATAATATGTTTATCCCATACCAATCTTGGTCATCTGATTCACATTGTCCAATCGTGGAAATATTTTAGAATATTCACGTCTAGTTTTTTTTTCTTGGCCCTGGGCGGATTTTCCTGTTCTTTCAAATATTCCCATATTTATTTTCTCGAATTTTTGATTGATTAAGTGGATGCTCCTTCCCTTTTTTAAACCATATCATTACACGAGCGTTACAAATTATGAATAAATATGCGAACGGCGATTATGACGTAGCGGGCAGATACACTATATCTGCCCGCTCGGAGGGGACGTAAAGCTATATCTGCCCGCTGATGAAAATGTAAGTTTTAACACACCGGCTTTATGTACCTGTAACACGTCCAAGTATGGGATAAATAGCAGTTCTTGGAAATGATATGTACTGGTATATGCCATATATAAGCCATCGCATGGTTTTCATTCGATAATTGGGATGTTCATTTTATCATAAATTGTAGCATACGGTTCCGTAACCTTTTACGTTATCTTAAACTCATTTTGCAATACGCATTACCTATACGTATCCGTAACAAACATAGGTACACGTATATTTTTACGCTTATCTTAACCTCCCTATTATGACACAAGATACGTTGACAGCATCTGATAAGGTGACCCACCCCATATCTTCGCTGAGTTCACATGAATAATGAAGCAGAAAACATTCCATAAATCTACCTCGCCTATTTACATTTACCTCGCCAAATTTTTAATTCTGGCTACGTCACTGATTTAACTTGTAAAATGTCAAAAACTGGCAGTAAATGCCCTGGTTTCAAGATGTCTTAAAGTCTCCTGTTTAAAAGGTTAATAAGAGACAAGGTATGTCGACATCATGAACCTAGATGACCCTCCACATATCTCCGATGAGTTCCCCCGACACGGTATTGTGCAACCATCAGTCATAGCATTCAAATAGATTCCACACAGACATCGGAATCCTTCGTAAGCCCCTGCGTACTTGGAACCTGAAATAATATAAGAAATAAAAACATCACACCGGAATACCCTGACAACGGTAAAGTCAGATACCGTTGTCACAAATGGCGGACATAACCGTCGCTTCTACTCTTCAATCACTTGGTCCTCGTTTCATTGGACTTTATCGTCGCTCATTCTGTGCATGCATTAAGCTCTTGTGATGTAGTACAGGGGGTCCAAAAACAGGACCGTAAGAAAGTTGGATAACTCGATCAATTTTGCATATTTTGCCTTGAAATTATTTAGTTCATTCAATGTGAATTTTGTTGTGAAAGTTTGATAATAATCTGCCAATTGAGTCAAAAACTACAGTTCCTTACAAAACATGCCCCAGAAGTGCAACTCTCCTCTTTATGCACAATTCAATCCGGCGAACAAAGTTGTTGAAGATCCTCCTACACACATTTCTTGCATTCTGAACAATGCACTGCCTGGATGGCAATAAGCAGACGTGGAATCAGTCCTTTTTTGTTCGAACAAGGACCGGTATATTCAAGTCGTCACTAAGTTTTGGAGGTCACTAAGCACCAGAAGAGGTATCTAAGGTAGGCCATGGTTTCAACAAGCCAATACCACCCCAACACTGCAAATGATATGCTGAAATGGTTTAGGCAATGCTTTAGTGGTCAGCTCGTCAGTTGCAGAATGCAAACCATATATATGGGCAGCTCATTCACCAGATCTAAATCCCCCTGATTTTTATTCTTAGGGATTTCCCAAAGCCAATGTGAATACTGACAGGCCCCTAACAATCTTAAGAGGGCAATAACTACCCCAATATGTACCATCGACATTGATTTGTATAGGTCAGGGTTATTAACAACTTTGTTCGCAGGATTCATTTGTGCACAGAGAGAAGTGCTCACTTTGAGCATGTTTTGTAAGGAACTGTAGTTTTTGACACAATGGATAGATTATAATCATCAAACCTTCAGAACAAAATTCCTAGATTCTTAAATTTCGAGGCAAAATATGCAAAATTGACCGAATTATTAAACTTTTTTACGGTCCTGTTTTTTGGACACCCTGTATTATATGAAATCCCGATTTCTATCAAATGGGGTCGTGAATCGCCACAATATAGCATCGATATCGTCAATGACAACGGAATCTGAATTTGAAATAATTTACAAAGACAACTGCATATGGTTAGATGTGACAACGTACTATGGTGGATGTATTGCATTGGAACATAGGAAAATGAAAACGGTAAATAGACACTTTACAGTTGTCTTTACATATACAGTACCGTTGTCAAATATTAATTACCGTTGTCATCCCGATTTTACATCACATTTGACCCACACCTACCGTTGTCATTTATACAGTATCCGTTGTCCTGTGTCATATTTCGATTGGTAAGATTAAAGCCTTCATTTCGATGGTTGAACATATTTAACTATATGATCAGTAAAGAAACACTTTGAGTGACTGTTGTACCAAAGGAATTTAATCCAGTCGCTCTATTAAACATACAGTTCATGAAAATCTAATTCAAGCGACGGTTATGCCCGCCATTTGTGACAACGGTATCTGACTCCACCGTTGTCAGGCTATTCCGTTGTACAAATTGATGTCACGTTTAGTTCAAATTTATGTCACATTTGGTTTAAATTGATGTCATATTCCTATTGGATATTGAGGTTAGCTTTGCGTATGAACAAAACTCGGCCAAACTGGTTGCCATACTTAGGGGGGGGGGTATATACAGGGGAGGCTTGAGAAAATGCAATAACAAGGCAGTTCGGTTCTGGATGAAGATATTTATGAATGCTATATTGGATAATATAATATGAACTGTTTTAATCAATTATCATTTAAGGATTTAAGCCCTGACTCTATGTGCTATATATGCTGAATCATTCCATTGATGGTGTTGTTTCCAAATATTGCATGACCGCACAGCGGGAATGCAAAGTTTAGGAAACAACCCCTGAGTGGAATGAACCAGCCACAATGCATTGTCTTTTGCTTAAATTTTTTTCCCACATTGCAAAATATTTTCTACAAAATCACCTAAAAGATATTAAATCGCTAAAAGAACATATTTAAAATGATTTCTTTTGCAGGGGTAAAGTTGGCAAAGCATCAATTTCAATCTGTGAGTCTAGTTATCACTTTGACAAATGCTTTATTGGTTATATAACGGAATGAAGTTACGTCAAATATCAAGTTCTGATTGGCTGGAATTGGACACACCTTGCCTAGATATGTGTGAATTATCAATCACATCATTTACCATTAACTTTGCACTTGTCGCCTTGGTACAAAACACCATGTAAAATTATCAACAATTGCATTACCCATTGGACCGTTGAAAGGGTAATATATATCATTTTGATGTTTTGATTGATGATGTCACGACAGCCCTACCATAGGAAGTGTAATAGAAAATATATAATCATTGATTCAGTCATACTCGAATCTCTTG